CATATTTTTGCTTAACAGCTGAGTGATATTCTGTTATATAAACACTGCTTTTTCTTTGTCCATTTTTCTGTTGAGAAACATCTACGTTGTTTCTAATTTCTGACTATTATTGACTAGAACATCAGTGGACATGATTGAGCAAGTGTCTCTGTAACAGGATGAGACGTCCTTTGGGTGCATGCCAAAGAGTGCTATAGCTAGTTCATGAGGGAAATGGATTCCCATCTCCTTGAGGAACCACCACACTGATTTCCATAGTGGTTGTACAAGATTGCACTCCCTCTTAGCAGTGGGTGCATGTTCTCCTTGCTCCATATCCTCACCAAGATGAGCTGTCACTTGTGTTATTACTCTTAGCCCTTCTGGCAGGTGTAAGATGGATTTTCAAAGTTGTTTTGATTTGCATGTCCCTGATGGCTAAGGATGTCGAACATTTGTTTCTCAACCATTTGAGTTTCCTCTTGAGAATTCTCTGTTTAGATCTGTACCCCACTTTTTAATTGAGTTATTTGTTTTCTTGATACTAAGTTTTTTAGTTCTTCATATATTTTTAGATAGTGTTTTGTTTGTTTTGTTTTCTTTTGTTTTGTTTAACGTGAGGTTAGAATGCTTGTTTGGGGGTTCCAGAGAGGTGAGTCAGCAGCTGAGACATGAACTACTTTTGTGGAAGACTGGAGTCAATTTGGTTCCAAGCACCCTGTTGGAATCTCATAACTGATATTAACTGCATTTCCAGAGGAACCTGTTGCCCTCTTCTGCCTTCTATAGGCACCTACATCATGTGTACTTGTCAACAACAGACAAACATACACATAATTAAAAAAGCTTTTTTAAAATCAGTTTTCATATAATTTTAAGTGATTTATTTTTATTTTATGTGCATTGGTGTTTTGCCTGCATACATGTCTGTATGAGGGAGTCAGATCACTTTGAGCTGCATTACAGACAGTTGTGAGCTGCCATGTGGGTGCTGGGAATTGAGCGTGGGGCCTCTGGAAGAGCAGCCAGTGCTCTGAACAGCTGAGCCATCTCTCCAGCCCCAGACAATATTTTGGTCATGATTTTCTCTTTCTTCAGCTCCTCCCAGATCCTTCCCATTTCCTTAACCACCCATCTTCACCCAACTGTGTTCTTTCTCTCACTTTCAAAACAAGAAACAACCCCACAAGGAACAAAGATGAAAATCAAATAATAAAAGTATTCTTGCTTGGTAATTTTTTTTCCTGAAAGTAGTAGCTTCCTGAGAAAGTGGTTCAGGTATTTGGTTAGGTCTAGCCCCTCCCTATGGATCCCGTGGCTTCACTGCTGGACTCCTGCAGTGGATCTTGTGAGATACTGCTTATTAAAAGTTTAATCTTTGCCATATTTAGCATTGCTATCAGCTCTCTGTTCTGGGATCTTCTGCTTAGGTTAACCATTCCCTACCTCTTAATAGAGCTTGAGATGATCTGCTTCTTTGTATTTCTGTTTTGCCTGTTAAACTTGATTATTCCGAGGAGGGAACTCTACTTCATTCATTGTAAGAGGCAGTGTAAACTGGAAAGCTATCTCAGAAATTGATAAAAAATGGTTTTTGCTTTGTTTTCCATTGCTTTGCAAATCTAAAGTTCAAAATATGGGAAATATGATGCAAAGTAGTATTCGTGGTGGCTGAGATTACCAAAGGAACAGTCTGGTGGCAGTAAATAAATCCATAATAAAGGCACACCAAGAATGAGTCCCACTGAACCACCTCCATTACTCAGGAAGATGGATGGGCTGAAAGAGAAGCAGGGAAGAAGCATTAAGGATTGCCAGCATGAGTGAAATTTGAACCCCAAACTGTCTGTTCAGTCTGGCATTTGGGAACTTGGTTATTAACTCTATGGCAGAGACAGAAATCATGATTCAGGTTTAAGTAAAGAAAATGTAGAGGTATGCTTGGTGGGAGCAAGTGACATTACTTACAACTGGTGAAGTGTGCAGGTTGGCCAGAGACACTGAAGACAAGTAGATCCGCTCGTCCTCTGACCCGCCCTTCGTGTGCAGTAGTTAGTCTAGGAAGCGACGAGTGAACGACTGCTCTACCAGCTGAGCGGGGTGCAGTTTGGGCAGGGTGGGCAGGTGGGAAGTACAATGAGGTGAGGGGAGCAGTTCTCCCACACATACACAAGCAGAGGCAGCAGACGTCTGAAGGGGTTTGTGCTTCGCTCTTCAGACAAACAGCAAGGTTGTCTGTCAGTAGGAAGGCCAGAGCACTCTAAGTATGCTGTAGGCGCTCAGGGGATGCTGAGGTCTGAATAGAACAGGACTTATGCGTGCTGAGGCTTGGGTTTCTTTCTGAACTGGGGGGTCGGGGGGAGATGACTAGAAATGCCGGAAATTGCTGTAAGATTTTTGTTAAAAGGATTGTTCGCTGAAGTGAGATTAGAAAACAGAGAGAAAAGAAGAAATAGATAAACCAGTTAGGAGACCACTGTGGTAGTCTGAGGCATGAACAAATCTCAGATTGAGAGCTGGTCCAAAGACAAGAGGCTGCAAAATCTGTGGGAGAGACAGGCACAGTTTTGCCTGGAGAGGAGATGGAATGTATGGAAGGAAAGCCAATAGAATCTGAAAGGCGAGCCTACAGGGCGGTTTGGAGAGATCCTTCCGTCATAAAGAGCGTTCTCTTGCATTTCAGAGAACCTCTCTTCTGAGAGAACCAACTTCTTGGTGTGCCAGTACAGTGTAACAATCATGGTGGACTCTGCCCTGCTGATTAAGTCCATTTGGACCTAGTAACACAATCTCCTTAGACCTCAGCTTCTTAATCTGTAAATTATGCATAACAATGCCTTCCTCATGGGAGTGCTGCATTTAATGAGTTAAGTAAAAGCATGTATGAGTTAATAAGTAGAAGCCTGGCACATGATAAAGTTTCTTGCAGGAATGCTGCGTTGCATGGGGTCTAGAGTCAATCTGGGAGCAAACTGCCTGGTTCTTCTAACTAGCTTGGCAGCTTCAGGCAAGTTGCTAAACTGCAGCGTTTCTCCATCTGCAGAACAGGGTTAGTTGTAGCCCCTACCTCAGGATTGCATCATAATGAAGTCGATGAGGGCGAAGTGCCTGCATAAGCATACTTAAGTGTTTGCTGATGTTAGCGTTTCTTGAATCTTCAAGTGCAGACTTCAGGATGTCCATTCAGCTCTTTTGCATCATTAAGAATAGTCCTGTGAACTGCTTCCAAAGCAGAGCCCTGATCCCCTGATTGCACGTGCTCCCGTGCAAGCTGAGTCCCTGAGGTCCTGAGGCAGCATTTGGTTTGTTTTTAAAATCTCCAGTGCTGGGAATGGAACTCGGAACCTCATACCTGATAGGCAGGGGCTCTACTGTTTAGCGCCAACCCTAATAGCGTATCTTAGCTTTAAAGTAGACTTGTGGTGGAGATTGGGGGGTGGGGGAGACGGGGTGAGGCTGAGGCCAGGATATAAAATAGATGAATAAAAATAAATAAAAATAACACTTTGGGGCTGGAGATAAACTCAGTGGTAAAGGTCTCTGTGGCATACACTAGGCCCTGGTGTGATGTCCAGTACTGGGAACAAAACAAGCTATTGGAAACAGATCTGCACCTCCAGTATGCACAAGGTGGCAGTCTGGGTTACCCAGAGGTGCTTTCTCAAGGAGAATACCTTTTAATGTGTAGTTCAGGCCTTTGAGGGTTTTATTTTTCACTTCAGTAAGTGACTGGGACCACATTCAGTTTGCAACTGGCCTTTCTGGATACCATTTTAGTCTCGATGTTTGCATTTATTTTGGTTGTCTTCACCAGAAAACAACAATGAGTCAAACAGAATAGAGTTGGGTTTTCTCCTATGTGAAACTCGGCTGGTCCTATGTAGATCTGCTCCCCACGAGATTGTTCTCTGTGCATTTTTAGTTGTGTTTTGTTCCATGGTCCTTAATCCCTCGGTACCTGTCTCTTCCTCCTCCTCTCTGCTTTCCCCAGCTAAAACAAGGTATAGAGTAGACTTGAATGCAGTTAGCTCCTGCTAGTCAGTCATACCGTTTGTATCAAAATAATTGTCCACTTTGTGAAGTTTTTCTGATCAGTGTCTTCAAACCGTATCCCATTCTATAATTCCCATTTTCTTTCTAAATCAAATATTAGTGTTAGCATTGAAACATTTTAGTGAAAAAAATTATAGAAGCTTAAAAGTGAAGTAAACAAGTAACACAGTTCTAGGCCAGATGAATAGTAGACAATGTATCAAAAATATGTATCTTTTTTGGGAATGGTGAGGGAGGAGGAGAGGGAGTGGGGGGGAGTAAGTAGAAAGAGTGTTTTCGGATACTTGAATAAACAACAACAACAAAAAAAAGTAAAAAAAAAAATATGTATCTTTTCACCAGATAGTATCAGATCTAGATCGATTTCACATCGACGTTTTTATACAAGTAGTATCAAAATTAACACTTTAAAAAGTGACTAGGAGGAAATGCCTGGTGTAAAAGTTTAACTTTCAAGGAGTATTGTAGATACCAAGTTTATTCTCCATTTGCCCCAGGAGCTCAGAAGTGTCTCTGGCCCTATCCCTCACCACTTCGGAGTCTTTGAGAGAGGTGCAGCCTTGCAGAGGGAGATCTAGCCTAGGTGGTTTCCTTTCCCCTCAGGAGGGAAATGTTACAACAGCTAGCACATTTTTATAGCTGAGCCCACACAGAGACAGCACTGACCCACGAGGTGAGGTCGGCAGGCTGTCTGCAGGACGAGAGAAATGCTGACCGAGCCTGACACCAAGTCTGCAGATGTCCGGATTTGCACTTACTCTAAAACTTGCTTGGTGTTCAGAATATCTGAAAACGCCTCTATTTGAAGTTTTTTGTTTTGTTTTGTTTTGTTTTGTATCTTGATTTATTTTTTAAAAAGCACTTTTAGTATCATAGAACACAATAACCTAAAATTTAGCTAACTGAAAAAGCCACAGTAAGAAAAAAAAAAGACTTTTGGGGAATTTGAGCCTTCCACGACATAGGAGTGAGAAATGGAAGCATTTAATCCAGTTAGTCACTAATATTTAGAAAGTCTCTGTTGCTTAAGAACAGACTTCCTTGCTTTTAATGCAAAGACCTGTTTATTTCAAGAAAGATACAGAGAGCTGTTGTGTTGCTCTCTCGTGAAACCCAGTAGGACCAGCAGACTGTGAACAGGCAGGCCTTTATTCCTCCAGAAATACTCTAACTTCCCTGTGCCCCGAACTGCCCCAGTGTTCAACGACAGAGAACAAAAAGAACAGAGGCCCTGCGCATCCCTCCTTTGCTCTCATTAACGTTCGGAAACTCCTCTCACTGCTGGGCAGGAAGAAGATGAGCAGGTCCAGAGTGGAATGGTGGCTGATGGATTGGCTCCTGCTACGGCATCCTTGCTAACAGTGTGGACAGCCATTGTCACCAGAGACTAGCTTGTGTCTCCGCTTGTAGTGGGTCGGGCCAGGCACCTGTGTGTCACCGGAGGAATACACTGTCAAGACAGCCGAGCAGTTTGAGCTCTGTTTCCAGAAAATCCAATGCTTGTTAAAGGTCCGTTATCTCAGCTGTGACATAAAGCTGATCCTTGAGATACAGAGAGCAAACCAGAACTCAGGAACATTCTGTAGCTGCCAGAGGTTCCCGGTTTTAGCCAGCCTCAGCAATGTGTGCATTTCAAACCCTACCTGTGCCTTCTTCACATCTTCAAAGCTTTTTAACTTCTGGGCTAACGGAAGTAAGTTCTGAGCCAGGGGCTAGAGCTGATGCCATATGGTCTCCAGTCCCCAAATCTGAAGGGACAGAATGTAAGCATGCATTATTCTGAGAACTGAAATGTACATGAAGTCCATGTGGATTTCAACCCTCCCCGCCCCAGACCTATTACTAAACGTGAGAATAGAATAACGTGGCTTAAACACAGGATAGATTACTCACCCACTTCAGTAGTTTGCCCTGTGGGCATTCTACGCTGCTGGCTGTTGTTTCGCTGCTATCTACAGTACCAAAGGCAGCCCAGCCTCTTACTGGGCCATGACATCCCCAAGAGGCAAGTCATCTTCTCATCTGCTAACCCTTCCACACAGTGACAGGCTAGAGGGTTTGTACCACAAACGAACAAGGCATTCAACGGGTGGCACTGACCCGTGAGTTCAGCGACCCGGTGACTTTACTGGTTTGTAACGGAACCACGTAACAAAACGACCAGCACAAACTGCTGAGAATTGGGAGTGGTTAGAGAAAAGCATTGTAGATGTGCTTTAGAAGCACTGTTCTAAAGTTGAAGGGATGATACCTCCAGAAGGCAAAGGCAGTTCCCAAATGACGCTTTTGGCAGCATCGGGCACTGAGCTCACCTCTGCCTGCAAAGCCAGCACTCCACTGAGCTTCCTCCCGAGGCGCCCGTGACGCTTTTCACTCTGGTAGCTTGAAAGCTTTCCGTCTGAAGTACACATTGTGAAGGCCAATCCAGGACAGTGAACCATGTCCCCCATGTTAAATCACATGCTCTGAACCTTCCCAGAGCGTGACAGAACGGGTAAGTTAAATTAAGGCCAATACCTTTTACCTTCCTAGCAGGAAACAACCTTACTATGTTTCCCATCACTGGGCATAAGCAAGACCTTTCCGGGCCGCCACCTTACGGGATGGGTTAGAATAGGAGGACTCGGGGTCAGTGTTTCCACAGAAGGATAAAATACACCCAAGAGTGTAACCTACCTTATCCTATATGGTGCATAAACGTTTAACCACGCTCTCGCAGCCATGATAACCCCCACTCAGTTCAAGATTTCCGGGAAGTTCAGACCTCATCCTGGTCATCACGCACCGCGGAAGTCACCCTCCTCCCTCTCCACGCGCAAGCCAGGCCGGCTTATAAGCTTCGTCATGAAATGCTAGTGTTTGTGTTGGGACGACATTGGCCTGTTAGGGTGCCAAGAGTTTCTCTTCCCCTGGTGAGTTTGTGTGTGGTTGGTGTAATTCCTCTCCACAATGATTGATACATGCGCCAGTAAAGTTAATTAGGTTTGAAAACATTTGTGCCAAGTTTTTAAATCAGACTTAATTTCTCTAACAGATTATTCAAAATCTTTGTCTCTTCCTAATTTTAAGAAATAATATTTAAGAAACGTTTTCGTTTCATCGATATTGTGAAATTTATTGGGAAGGTGTTTTTCTTCATTTCATGTCTTTAATAGTGACTATAAAAATCCATAGTGATATTTCATTTTTCATGGATTATTTTCTGTCTTTCTCAGCCCTTCAGAGAACCAGCTTTGTCTTTGTGGAGTTTCTGGTTTTAATAGTATTTTTTTTTTGCCTTTTATTATTTCTGCTTTATATTTTGGGTTCTTCCTCCTCTATTAAGATCTTAAAGGTAAAATTTACTAGATTACTGATTTTCTACCTTTCTATGTTTTTTTAATTAATGAGTTAAAGTTACACATTTTCCCTAAACATTACAGTGCTCGTGTGCTCGACGGCCAGCAGATGGCTTGATTTCTAGCGTTTCAGGTACACGTGAAAGGAAGATAGATTCCGTAGTAATCCAGCCTTTCACAGCCTTAGTTTTCCCATCCAGTTGGCCCATTATCATTTTAAAGTACTGTGCGTGTGTGTGTGTGTGTATGTGTGTGTGTATGAGTAGGGGATATGTGTGATACATGTAGCAGTCAGAGGTCAGCCTTGGCATTGTTCCTTAGGAGCCTTACATCTTGGGTGTTGAGACACCATCTTGTTAAGTTGGTAAGACTGGGTAGTTAGAGCACTGCAGGGCTCCACCTGTCTCTTCTGCCTCAGGGCTAGGATTACAGCCATACCTGTCAAACCTAACTTTTTAAAAGTGGGTTCTGGGGATCAAACTGAGACCAGCATTTTTACCAACTGAGCTATCACCCTTGGTTTACCATTTTTATTTATTTATTTAGTTTTTGGTCTACCATTTATTAAGAAGTATAGTCTTTTAAGTCAATGAATTTTAAATACAAAGTTTGCTCTCTCTTTTTTTTAGTTTGATTACTTTAGACATTTTGAGACCATGCATGTTGCATAGTGGCAAATCTAGGATTATTAAATCATCTTGATGGATTGACCCATGATTATGAAATACTTTTCTTCAATTCCTTTCAGTACTTGTTTGATATCGTTAGGTAACATTACCCTTATTTTTTGTTGATGTCTACATGGTATATGTGTTTGTAGCATTTTACTTTCAATTTCTGCTGGCTTTATATTTACAGTGTGTAAAAGTTTTGTGTGCTAGGCTGCCTGTTTTTTCTCAACTCAACCAACTCAAGCTGGAATTATCTGAAAGGAAGGAGCCTCAGCAGAGAAAATGCCTCCGTGAGATTTGCCTTTTTAAATTAGTGATTGATGGGGGAGGGCCCGGCCCATTGTGGGTGGTGTCACCCCTGGAATGGTGGTCCTGGGTTCTATAAGAAGGCAGTCTGAGCAATCCATGAGGAACGAGCCTGTAAGCAGCACCCCTCCCTGGCCTCTGCATCAGCTCCTGCCTCCAGGTTCCTGCCTTGCTTGAATTTCTGGCCTGACATCCTTCTGTGATAGATACTGCTGTGGAATAATCTTTTAGTAGACTGTGAAGATGTGTTGCTCTCACTGGTTTAATAAAGAGCTAAATGACCAACAGCTAGAAGGAAGAGGTTGGGCGGGACTTACAGACAGGGATAGCACGCTGGGATGAAGAAGGGTAGAGTCACCAGGAAATGCAGGGAGAAGCAGGATGAGGGCATTGATAAAAAAAATATGGGTTACCTGAAGATTAAGAGCTAGCTAGTAAGAAGCCTAAGCTATTGGCTAAGCAGTTATAATTAGTAAGAAGTCTCTGTGTGGTTATTTAGGAGTTGGCTAGGTGGGACAGAAAGGTCCACCTCAGAACTATGATGTGGAAGTGTGAGCTAAATAAGCCTTTTCCTCCTCAGCTTGCTTTTAGTCATGGTATTTTATCACAGAAATAATAACCCAAACCAAGACACCTTACTATTGATTACTGTTTGGACTGGGCACCAAATGTTATTTTATATATACATAGTACATCATGTATGTGTATATATAATATGTGTATATATAACAGATAATACATATATATGCGTGTGTATGTAAAACATACAATACACACATACATATGAAGCTAAAGCATGTGCACACAGGTGCCAAATGAGGGAATCATGGAAAATAATGGCTCAGCAAATCTGAGCAATCTGAGCAAATCTGGTGACTGTGACAGATGGGGCGGTGTATGTACAACTTCAGAAGGAGGATTTTTGCGTGAAAGTGGAAGAAAGGTAACCTGGAAAACACGCGGAGCTGATAAAAGCCTGTGGGCCCAACACAACCCGAGAACAGAAGAGTAACTGCCTCCGCTCGAAAGGGCCACGGAAATCACATCTCTGCAGGAACAAGGCACCAGGGAGAACGCAGACCCACCAAGAGTAAGGGAAGTCAACCGTGGCCTTTACCGGCTGATGTTTCTGAGGGTAAGCACGGAAGGTTTGGGAGAGACTGGGAAGGGGCGAGAAGCACTGGCCACGATGGGAACTCGATCAGTGGTGGTGGTGGCACTACCCTTTTCTGAGGACGTTAGGAAAAATGACTGTTTTTAACTTCGACAGTGACTGAGAATAGTGTGAGCATTGGCAATCACCCCAGCAGGCTCCAGACCATGCTGGACATCTGGTACCACTAAAAAGGTCACTAACAGCTCTCTCTCTCACTGATGCAGGAGGTTTACCCTTGGTATACAGAAAGACTGCAGAAACATGGTGCAGTGGTGGTATCCAGTCTCAGAGCCAAAGGCATGCTGAGTATACCCATGCAGTTGCAGTGCCTTATGGGAAAGGGCTTACAGTGCCCTTTGCGTGAGGACTGGGTAGACAGGATAGCTCCAGAGGGGTGAGCTTCCTGCTAGTGGAATTTCTTTCTTCAGTGAAGATAATTTTATTGCTATTGCTGTTAGTGATGGTGACTTGTCGTCTGGACTCCCCCAGGAGACAAGCCCCTAGGCACACCTAGGAAGAGTGCTTAAATTACATCACCCCCTGGGCAGCGAATGAGGAATTAATCTTCATTAGGTTATTGTGGTGTGAAGGCTTGGGTGCAGGACTGTGTCGAATCCAGGAATCTGGTTTAGCGTTGATTTTCTGCTTTCTGAGTGCGGATATGATGCTACCAGCTTCTTCAAACTTGAGGTCCTGCTGTCTGGGCTCGTACAAACACCCTAGCCCCTACCTCTAGCCTCCCTCCTTTAGCCCCCGACACCTCTAAACTCCCACCACCCCCACTGACGTGACTTCACTGTCAAAATATGTACCAAAACCAACCTTTTCTCCTATAAGCTCCTGTTGTCGGAGGTGTCTCATCTCAACAGATAGAGTAACTAACTAGGATTAAAGAATAGGAGATTACAGGGACTATCATTCGCACCCAGAGTGGGAAGTAGACAGTGATATATAAAGTCTTCTTAAAAACATTTCTAACACCCGCTGCATATTGAGACCATGGGTGAATCTGTGAACTTTCAAATGAGAAGGATTTGAAGCCGCGGCCTTCTAAGTATTTCAATGCAGAAAGCTGTGTGCTTCCTGTCACGCATGCTGGGCAGGTCAATCAATAGCTTGCTACCGGGAACCTGGGTTTTAAAGGTAATGACGGCAGTCAGAAACACCGGCTTTGAAGATGGACCCCTGTGGGGGAAGCGAGCCGCTCTGGTGCTTTAATTCACAGAGAATGGGTAGGGAAAGGTGGTTCCCGCATAGCTTTCAGGCCTGGAACAACGTCTTCATCATCTTGTGCGTGATGTGGCTCTCAGGACTCTGGATGTCATCGTACGACTTGAGTGGACTCTCCTTCTCTTGAAAGTGGATGGGCATCCTCTTGCCCTGTACACTCAGGAGCTTCAAAGCCACGGGGCCCAAGTTCACATACTCCTGGGGGAGAGACACAAGACGAGAGGTCACTGGCAGGGAAGCCTGATAGATGAGACCCTGGGTGGCCCTGGGTGGCCCTGCTGATTGTGTGAATGCGAAAGTCCTTGCGAATGTTTAAAAGTCTCCCTTGTAAGTTTATACTCCCCATGAGTCACAGTAGACAGACCTCCCGGCGAGCGGGAGGGAAGGCTGGTGGTCTCAAAGGGAGCTGGGTTGGGTCTGATACTGGCTAGTGAAAATGTTTCCCCCTCCGGGCTGCTTTGTTGGTGGAGTACTAGCAGACTTCTGTATGATTCAAAAATGGAACAGGGTGGAGATTCTGCAAGTGTTGCTTGGACTAGATAATGTAACACCGAGGAACTTGCCCCGGAATTCGAATCTTTCCATAGGTGCTTCGGCTAGTGTCCAGGTCAAACGTAGCCCCTTGTGCCAAAATATAGATTCTCGAGATGTCAGTCACCAAGAAGAACTGGAAAGTTCCTTTCTATGAAACCCTCTAGCCAGTTCCAGATAGCTCAGGCCTACGTGGGAAGCCTCCTAAGCCGTGATTCACGTGTTGTGTTCCTTCAACACACACATCAGCAAATCTTTCTAGAATGCTCCCTGTGCCCATGGAGTGCTGGGATGCCATGATAAACACATGGCCAGTGAGGGACAGGATAGATAGTGTAGCTCCTCCTACATTGCATTTGTTGATTTTTTTCCTATAATCCCATAAGCACTTGTGCCTTTGAGCCTTTATGGCCCGGCTCTCTGGAAATTCCCAAGCATGAGGGACCTGGAATATTGCAGGGCATTTGTGTGAGTTTAGCAGGAAAAGAGTGGGCGGTGTTTCCAAAAGCCCATTGTTGAATGCAGTTTTCAAACCACAAGAAAATAGATGGACGCTCTACACCCTGGGCACCGCAGCTCCTCCATCACCACTCACAGGAACACATTTCGTCAAACCGCTTTCTTTTGCACCGTTCATTCTTCTACCGGACTTTAAAATGTAGAACTTTTAAGGTTTTGGCAGTGCCAGAAAGGGGAAGAGAAATGTACAAATGGGAGTTCTCTAGATTACAGGTCCACTTCTCCAGGCATCCGCTAGTGGTATACAGTTTACAAAGATGGCTGGATGGATAACGGACCCCACAGTTTTGTAGGGAGCTTTTTGTTTGTACACAATCTTCCACCAAGATGGAGGAGCTGTATTCTTCCCTCTTGGTGAGTGTGACCAGTGGAGTGTGATGGAAGGGATAGTGGGTGGCCTCCAAACATTACAGCTCCTCTCTTTTGTCACCAGGATTCCTAGCCCTAAGAAGTTGAACACCGTACTTTAACGGAGTGACATTCAAGGCACCCTTTGGAGAGGCTCGCAAGAAGAGAAACTGAGGCCCAGAAGCAGTCATCATCATCTTGCTAGACATAGGCATGTCCCACTTTTGCGACGGCTCTTCTGCCCCCACCCAAGCTTCAGATGGAGGTGGCCCTAACTATCATATGACTGCCCAACTGAGAACCCAGTGGTACCATTGCTCAACTTCCAGCTAATGGAGGCCTGGAAAGGAATTGCAAGTACTGTTTCAGCTGGGCGGCGGTGGCACAGGCCTTTAATCCCAGGATTTGGAAGAGGCAGGCAGATCTCTGAGCTTGAGGCGAGCCTAGTGTACAAAGTAAGTTCCAGGCCAGCCAGGGCTGTTACACGGAGAACCCTTGTCTTGAACTTCCGCCCACCCAAAGTATTGTCTTAAACTGCTAGGACTAAGGGCTACTCTGTTACAGAGCATCGGCCCCTCACACTTCCTCTTGGTGATGGAGGTCTGTAAGTGAACCGCTGAGCTAACTGGCTCAAAGAGGGAGTAAAAGAATATCCCACGAGAGGTCCATGGCAAGCCGCTCTTACTAGAATCACAAAACGATTGTTCAGTATTTGCATCCTAGGTCTCCTTCTGCCAGCATGGCGGTCGCTGACATTCTCGTCAGGACTGTGCGACACTCATGAAGCTCACCTTGAAGTCTTGCTCGTCCTCATGCAGTAAATAATGCATGACGGAGCCCTCGATCTCGGCGGAGGAGCTGACGGAGCCCTCGATCTCGGCGGAGGAGCTGCCCTCTCTCTCTGTCGTCCTGAACTGGATGTCCGGACCGCTAGCTTCCTGGCTCCCCAGCAAGAGGCTCGGCGCGCTTCCGCTCTCTGTTTCAGTGGGCGATTTCAAATTTTCCTCTGAGATTAAAGCAAAGGGATAAGTAGGTAATGTCTTGAGCAGATTACAAATATGATGCCATCGTTGGTCACATTTTTTTTTTTGAAAGAACTCTGAACTTAGAAATATAAAACTTAGGGAGAGAGGAGTGACTTAGCTTAATCAAAACCACAAGAGGCCCCAAGTTCAATCCCTAGGGCTGCCACCACCAAACCCAAAATGTTTTTAGAGAAATCAGTATGGAATTTTTGGAATAAATAAATAAATAATAAAATGAATGTAATATAAATTATATAAAAATAAGAGGTGGCCCCATTTTAGGAAACTATTCTATAGCCTGATAGCTAAGACATTAACCATAGCCTTTTGGGAACTAATGGGTATACTGACACCCCAGCCCTCCACGTGGGGTGCAGAGCTCCTCCGTGTGGGGTGCAGAGCTCCCCCGTGTGGGGTGCCTGCCTATAAAAGATGCTCAGGCTGCTGTGTTGAAGTGGGGAAAACCTTATCACAAGGAAATTGTACTACCGTTGTCTGTCTTTGGCAGCCTCAAAGACGCGTCTTCAGGTGGCACTTGCTGCCCAGTGGCTTGAGTGAGATACAGTTTCCTAAAAGAACCAATAGCAGACTGTCGGCCAATGACTACCGTGATACCTGCTCACCAGCATCTGTCTCTCTCTAGAGTACAGAGACGAAGCGGAAGCAGGACCTGCTCCGCACGCTTCGGGAGCATAAGGCTTGCTGGACTGATAAACTACTACAGTATCTTAAGGTGGTGATTTCTAGTGAGAAGCGAAATGAGTGGTGTGAGAATTCGGGGGCTCAGAAAGAGGCACCCCTTGAGTCAACTTTGGAGACAAGGGAGGTTTCCTGAGGAGAAATCTGCATGGAGTCTTGTAGAACCAGAAGTCCACCGTGGGAAGAGAACGAAGAGATGGTGGGAATAATACCAGTTGGGTACCAATAGATTGGGCACCAGGAAGAAGGCCGGTGAGAAATGCTGGGGGTGGAGTCTAGGGGAATGGCGGGGGAGGGGGAGGATGGGGGAGGTAAGGCATGTAAGTTATTTAAAGCACATGCATGCGTGCGGTAGCACATACTACTGTCCGTTAATGCTAATGAATTCTTTATTTGTATTTTACACATGAGAGTATTTTGCCTGCATGCATTGGATTCCCCTGGCACTGGAGTTACAGATGGTTGTGAGCCACCATGTGAGTGCTGGGACTTGAACCCGTGTCCTCTGGAAGAGCATCCTGTGCTCTTAACCACTGGGTCAGTGGTTAAGTTCCCTTCCCTTTGCCTCCTGTCATCTAGGGGAAGCACTGGAGAAGTAAATCTTTTAAACAGAGCGTGTTACTCTGTATTTTAGGCTGCCCTAGAATTATGCAGCCTATGCTGGCCTTGGATTTATGGTAATCCTCTCGTGTTAGCCTCCTGAGTGCTGGGATTACATGTAACACCTGACTAAATTATCTTAAAAACCCCACCAACATTTTATAGGTATAATGTCTACAAAACCCTTTCTAGAAATGTTAATGACTTTGCCCTGGGTCTTCTGAGAGCACCAAACGCGAGCATCTCACCTGGGTATTTTGAGATCCACAAGTCTACAGTTAAGCAACTGGTCAATAAGCATCAGATTTTCCTCTTCTAGTTCATGAATACAGTTTTCCAGCTTTTCGACTTCCTTCCTGAGAATCAAAATCTGTTTGCAGAAGAGGGGATGGGGTGTTGGTACTTACTGGCTTCACTCAGTGACACGGATTCGACTCTTGAAAGGACACTGGCCTGAGGGAAGAGCTCACATTCGTGATTTATAGCTGGGTTCTCCTGGTCCTTCTGTTGCTGAGAGGAAGAGTGGGGTGGTTCTCTAGGCCTTAAACAGGCCTGGTGGGTAGTTACCACAGCAGAACCTGCCCTTTTTCACCCCCCAGAAGCATGGCTGAACTTAAATATGAGCCAGAAGCAGAGCTAGGAAGACAAAATTCACTTAGCAATATGATCCATTGGTTAGTGAATGGGACTTTCTCTAACAGCAATTACAAATAAGACAATGAAAGCACACTAAAATAAGTGATATATATGGTGGTATTTTTTTTAAATGCCTAAAAGTCCTTTCTACCGACCTCTGTACTAGGATTATGTTCTCTTTGGTGCCAGTTCTGAGAAATGCATATATATGAAATATTTGCCAATGCATTTGTTGTACTAAAACCATTACGTGTGCCAGCAAACATATTACAAATGATCAAGATACGAAATTAATTCCACAATGGGATCTCTTAGTCTCCTGGGCAAGGTGCTGACCGAAGATGGGGTGCTGGAAACCTGGATGGAAGCAGGGAAGCCAGCCCCTCTGGGAGCTGCAGATGTCGGGATAATGAGAAACTGACAGGAAGGATGATGTCTGACCCACATCGTGAGGATGGAGCAGGGCTTAATGTAGAAGCAAGTCGTGTCTCCTGGGAAGTAGGAGCCAAGTCTACCAGGGCACAATTAAGGGGGGAGTGGGGGAGGAGTTGGGGACCAAATGAGCAAGTAAGAAAGAGGCAAACACTGCCCAAGAATCTGGTTTTCAAATATGAACAGAATTTGCCAGTTTGGTTGATGGAGTTCCCGTCAGTCTTTTAAAAGTGTGTTTGGGATCTTCGTCTAAAGAAGTCTGGTAGCCATGCGCATGCTCCGGCTTTAAAAGAGGCGTTCCTTTGTTTCCTACCCTGTGATGTAAAGATCTGGATTGACCTCAGAGAAACCGGTGAAATCACCAGTGACACTCCCATTCATTCGGTAGATCCAGGGGCTGGTGAAAGATGGGCTGATGTCCTGTAAGCCTCTTCTGGGCTTGGTGGTCAAAAAGTGTCCTGCCATATGCACGGGCAGGCAAGTAGGTTTACGTAAGTGGAAGGGCCCTGCCAGAAGAAGGGGCGGAGACTGAGGATCCTGCCTGGACTGCTTAGGAGATACTGTGAATCTGAGAAGAAGAATGGCCAGCTTATATATCGCAGCCTGTATCTGAAGGCGGAGAGGAATATGTTCAAAACCAAGAAAGCTCCCATGGAACACATCTGCAGGCCGAAGGCAGGTCAGGCCCACAAGAAGCTCCTGCAGACCCAAGAGCAGGTCTGAGATCAAGGAAATTCTCCCAGGCCAAGAAGAACGACATCACTAAAACCAAGGAGCAAAAGACGAAGACGTGAATGAAGCCCTGTCTCTGGCCCACATAGTGCCTCGGCTTTGCCATCTCGTCGCGCACATCAGTCATTAGCATAAGCAACCCTTTATCAATACAAAGAAAAATATCAGAGAAAAGGCTCGTCTGAGGGAAGAACTCCTAGAAGTTACTTGGTTGGGCCCTGAAGTCACTTCTCTGCCACCCCAGCAGTGTGATTATATTACACAGGCATCAACATCTGCAGATATTTGTGGAAGCAGTCAAGACATGAGAGTTAGAACTAAATATAAAATCAAGAGTGGTTGACTGGTGGGAATAACAGAGAAACCGAGTGGAAACAAAAACGCAGAAGCTGAAGCTTGCTCCTTCGGGCCAGGAGAAGCTAATGGCGTCTGCTTTGTCACCCAGAGTCAGTGAGAGCTGGGAATCTTGAAGCATTCATGTTTGTGAAATTCGTGGGTTCTAATCTGGGCAAGCTTCTGAGATGCCCTGGCAAGTTTTATGTCAACTTGACACAAGCTAGAGTCATCAAAAAAGAGAGAGCCTAAACTGAGAAAATGCCTTCCTAAGATCAGACTGCAAGCCCCTAGAGCTTTTTCTTACTTAGTGATTAATGTGGGTGGCCCCGCCCATTGTGAATAGAGCCACCCCTGGGCTGGTGGTCCTGGGTTCTATAAGAAAACAAGAAGAGTGAGCTATGAGGAGCAAGCCAGTAAGCAGCACTCCTCCATGGCCTCTGCATCAGCTCCTGCCTCCTCTACATTCCTGTCCTGACTTCCTTTGATAAGGAACAGCAATGTGGAAGTGTAAGCCAAACCAACCCGTCCCTCACAAACTTGCTTTGGTCATGGAATTTCATCACGGCCACGATAACACTAAGGAGGACCGAAATTGGTGCTGGGATCTTAGGGTACTCTGTGACAGCCCTGACCACGTTGTTTGGGGAAGGACTGGGTAACTTGGAGCTGGAAAGTCGTTGAGCATTCAAGGCTTGGTGAGCTGTTCTATGGGAGCCTGGGAGATAAGAACGCTGAGCGCAATGCAGGCGATGGACACCCAGCTTTGGAAGTTCCGGAGGGAAATGTGCGAGCCATTTAAAGACTCTCTTGCAAGCTGTTGCACGGGTTGAGAGTCTGGCTCTGGTTAGCTGGAGTTGAAGGATCAGCTGTGATTAGCAAGAGACCAGAACCACTGAAGTTAAACCCTTTGCTTTACTGGGACAGTTGATGCTGGTCAGCTGGAGCTATGAATTTAGTGGTGATGGAGAAGAGACCAGGATCATTGAGATGAAATCTTCTGGGAAGCCAGCACAGTATAGGACACAAAGGTGACCAAGACTCAACCCTTCCCCCAAAGACAGCTTCTAACCCAGCCAACACGCCAATGCTTGTTATCACGGCTCAGACTGCTGGTGGCTTAGAGTCGGGAAGACCAACGGCACTTCCTATCTCAAACATTTAGGTTCATAGGAAGCTGGTGGTTGGTGTGTAGGGTCTTGGATGTTCAGAGCTGATTACCTTGATTACAAGTTCGAATGCCTTAAGGAAAGGCTTGTTTTTAAAGGATGAGAAGGACATTATAGAGGCTGTACAAGGAAAATATAGAGCGTTGGGAAGATGCCTGGCCGTGGGCTGGACATGCATGGGAGGCAGCACACAGTTCTCCAGCTCTTTTCAAAGTTGGTACCAAGATAGCTCTGCAGGGGTTTAGGGTAGTTTGTGGCATCACTTCCCTCTTCAGACTGTGCAGTGATGTTCATATGTATTGTTAACTCCCTGAGCTTTTGAAATACTAGGGAAATGAATAATCATATTAATTCTCAGATTTCTGAGGTAAGAAACATGAAAGGGTAGAAGAGGCAGAAAACCACGTTTCCCCAAATACCTAAGAAATGTAGAGATCAGGACAGACAGTTCAAACTATTTAAATCAGGGATCTAGGGGCCTGATTCAAATGTGTACACTTGACCTTTTCTTCAGCAAGGTCCATGTGAGCCCTATGCCCCTTTGAGATTATGAGCCTCTGACCCCTTTGTCTTGTTTCTCTGTGTTAGGGTAGTTAAGTCATTTGGGAATTTCAATTGTCTTCATTTTCCTAATAAGTACACAGAATGAAAGCACAGAGCAGAAACACTGCACCAAGATGCCCTGCACCCTTCTGATGCATCTGTGCTCTGTTTTTTTTTTTTTTTTTGCAGAGAGAGAATGAAGTGGAAAATTCTCAGAAGTCCCATCCCTAGCAATGCTTTTCAAGTCCTTATTAGCCTTCTCCAAAGAAATAAATCAACTTAATTGTTCTGTGTCTGGGTAACTCTTGAATGCAGTGATGAACTTATAATAAGAAATAGTTTTCATTAATTTTTGAGTAAACTTAATCATGTCAAAATTAATATTTATCATAATAGAGAAATTAAACCTATTGGATTTCCTTGAAATGCTTTGCCCTTTATTTCTAAGCTCTATGATTCAATTAAGCTTGGCATTTTCCCTTTTATTTCTGATGAATTATAAGAAGTAACATGGAATGAACCCAAACATAGTGTGAGGGTTTAACAGAAGAGTCAGGCCATCAATACAGCCTTTTTTATCAGCCAGATAAGGAATTTTTTTAAAAGTCATTCCCCTTAAATCTAAGATCTGTGACATCTTATGAAATCAAGAGTTGAATAGTTATTATAATATCATGCTGTTGTATTTAACAAAAGTATAATAAGCATTCCCTAACACTCTATAACTATTAACCCACTTGAGTTGTAAATTATTGATACCTTGCTTTATTTTTTTACTTACTTGTTTTGAGATAAGGTCTCATGTAGAGATCTGGCCTTCAGATATACTTGCTATATAACAAAGAATGATCTTTAACTTGTAGATCCTCCTACTTCCATCTCAAAGTCTTGTTTAAAGTGGGACATTCATTGTAATTATTTGGGAGTAATAGTATAGACTCATATTAACATGACTTTACAGAGGTAACTTGGCTGCTGTTGTCAGGGTGGCCCTGGTAGCACAAGCCTCTGCTCCTAGCTCCTCCAGAGGCTGAGATAGGGAGATGCAAATTTAAGTGCTATGCAGACTACAGAACAAGTTCAAGGGTAGCCTGGGCAATGTTGAGAAACCTTGTCTCAAACATAAAAAGGGCTGGGGCGCAGTTCAGTGGGAGTGCTTGCCTAGCATGCACAAGGCTGTGGGTTCAATCTCCAACATTGCATTAAAAAAAAAAAAAAGGGTAAAAGGATAAGGGGATAGGGTGGAGCTAAGTGAATGAATCCTTGCCCTGTACACAGGTCCTCAGTTCAGTCCCGAGTGCCCTCACACACAACACATTAGTCGACAATATTACAGAAACGGTGTGCGATTTGTCTCCTAATACTCTGGAACCGTTAACTACTCAGACGGGAAACCCAGGAAGAGAGAAGAGGCAAAACCTTAAAAGTCACTTTTCCTTTGGTGTTTCTGGACAGTGAGGAGCAAGGAGAAGCTGGAACAGTAATTTAACATCCCACAGCAGGAGTGTCAACCCCAGTGCCTTTCCCATCGCCACCAACGTCTTTACAGGCAACTAAAGATGGAGGCTCGGAGCTCGGGACCCACACGGGGCCCACATAGGGCTCACATGAGGTAATGAGAAAGATGTGTGTCAGAGAATCATCGTGACTAACATGCCAGCACACATTCAGTTCCCAGCACTCCTATGAAGGCTCCTAACTACTTGTAATTTCAGTCCCAGGGGATCTGCTGCCCTCTTCTGGCCTATCTATAAGCGGCAGACACACACGTAGAGCGCACACATGTATGCAGGCAAAACACTCGCCCACATTAAAAAAAAAAATAGATCTCTTTTTTTAAATAGTGAGTTTTGTTTTATATATAACATGTAAGCATGGCTGGCTATGTCTAAATGTAAAGAGAGTTTTTAGGAGCCGGTGAGTGCTTGAACTAGAGACACCTAGAGTATTGGTCAGAATTCAGAAACACTGCTAATAAGGCGTCCAGTGACTATGACCGCGAGGAAGAGTCCCATATGGTTGATAGTTACTTTGGTGTTGCTCTGAGACCTGAGGAAACAACTTTAAGAAGAAAAGGGGCTGATTTGGGTCACTGTTTGAAGAGACAAGTGGCTCGTGTAAAGGTCACCTGGCCAGGAAAGCCAGGTCGCAGGTGCTGGAAGCACCTTCTTGTAATTCAGCAGAGGTCCCAGCCCATGAAACGGTGCTGCCCACATTCAAGATGGATCTTCCCGCCTCACTTAGCCCAGTCTAGAAACTCTCTTCTGGATGACCAGGCTTATGCCTGCTAGATGATTCTAGATCCTGTCACGGTGACTGTATTAGCCATCATGGTTCCAAACCTGGCAACATGATACACAATGTGTGCCCAGCCTACGATTCTGGAAGATCATCTATCGCGTCCCTTTGAACGTCCGAACTCACTGCCAAAGGACAGAGTCTGGGTTACATTTCGGAAGGAAGACTCTTGAGTTTGTGTGGAGGATGAGGAGGAAGAGTCTGGCTTAAGGGAAGCAAAACCAAGTAAGGCATCCCTGACAGATGGGGTGTGGTTGCTGAGGGCCTGGAGGGGGGCAGTGGCGGAGAAGCGATTGGTCGGGATTTGTGGGACGCGGAGGCCTTCTGGAAGTAGAAAAGACATTCGGGACTTCCAAAGTCCGGACTTGGGTGATAGCACAGTCGTGGGGTCCTTCACGGGGACAGACACAGCGTGGGGCCAGAAGCAGTGTCAGGGAAACGGGCAGCTGTTGTCGATTCAAGAGTCGGAGATGCCTGTGGTGAGCCTACCCGGAGTCGCAGCTGGCTGATGAGTGCGTGGGTTTGGAGCCTGGAAATGACGTCATTTCTAATCTGCCTGCCTTTTAAGCCTGAAACACAATTATCCTCGGGCGGGCGACTCTTCCCTGGAGTTTAGAGAAGCAAGCGTTTCCTGTTTCTCTCTTTCTTGGTACACTAGCTTGTGCTGTTAAGTGTACAGTTCAGTAAATTCCTGAGGATGGCTGAGAAGTAAATATCACAGCCCTTGAAATTCTGGGAATAGGGTTTTGTTTTGTTTTGTTTCCTTTAATCTAGTTGAGTGGAGGCTAGAATTCCGAGTTCAAAAACGTTCTCCACCTGAACTTCATTATCACCCCCAGTGCTGGTTTACTGCTCCCTGGTTCTGCCGCCTTTGGTTTGCGTTCTCAGCAACCAGGGATTTCTTCTACTGCTTCGCTGGTGACTCTGTCTGCTTTATCTTTCTAGAATTCATGGTTTTGGGATACTGTGCCTCTTACATTGGTGATGTGTCTCTCCCTGACCTGAGAGAATGAACTCCGCATCTTGTTTTATATTTGATTATTTTGGTCTTGAAGGATCCCGTTTTATAAATAAGATAGCCCTCAGATTTTTCGAACATATATATAAAAGCCCCTTTTCAATTTTCTGAGCTTCCCTCAGACATCTTGTTGGGATGGCTTTTATTACTAGTTTTTGCTTCTGCTCTCCTTGGTTTCGCTTGGTTTTTCTCGTCCACTGTCCAGTTGTTCTTAGTGATCCTTCAGTCATATTAAGAAGGTCTAAGGCAGCGGTTCTTGACCTGTGGATTGCGACCCCTACAGGGCTTGCCTGAGACCATCTGAAAACACATATTCCCCATGGCCTTAGGATCGGAGACACTGTTTCTTTATCCATCTCAGGTGGGTCTGCCCGCCTGAGTATCCTCCAGTTCCTGGATCTATATTAAAGGGTCATAGCATCAGGAAGGTTGAGAACCACTGGTCTAAGGGTTGGTGGCGTTTTCTCCACCATTGCATGAACAGGATTGTTTTCATCCCAATTTTTTCCTCACAAAGAGAGAGTAGATTCAAGGTTGAAAATAAAGGCAAGTCAGGGCAGGAGGACTTTTGTGGACTGAGAAATCAGGAGTAGGATATTTAGATTGTGTCCTCATGAATATCACAGTTGGAATCATAGAATCTTTGCATATGAACGGCCTCATGGTTATGCTAGAAACTCCATCGTTGTGTATTTTAGTTCTGTTGTTTACATCTGCCTTTCATTGCTTTACTCATCAACAAGATAAAATGTATTGAAAGATTAAAAAGAAAAGAAACACTATCAGGTGATTTCAGTGTTCTTGGGGGAGAGCCTGCAGGACAGCTGCTTTGTTCTGTGCGAAGGAAATGGCACCGAGTCCCAGGGATGCCGGCGGTTCTTGGTTTCTGCTCCTTTTCCTTTCTCTGCCTCCTACAGCTCATACGGACTCTGAGCAGAGGCTCCCCCCTACTTCCCAAACAGACTGAGTTTTGCATTTCCCACGGAGCACACTTACAACATCTGCACCAAATGTTATCTGCCACTTTACTCAACAGCTTACTTTCATGCCGTGTGTGTGTGTGTGCGTGTGTGTGCGTGTGTGTGTGTGTGTGTGTGTAAATCTCACCTTCTAGTTCACTACACCTGGTGTCTTTGCAGATGGATTCTTTATTGTATCTCTGCAATTTTATTGCAGAGGTGCCCTTAAGAGAAGCAAGATACATCTTGAGCCACAATATAATTCACAGTTTGGTATAACTGCTTCTAAACTAAAAGTGTATATGAGTATGCTTATGACTCATCCCCTCAATGAGTAAGCATATCTATATTCATAGACATTTTTAGCATTCATTCATTTAATAGCTATTTTTGATAAGCAAAGATTATTTTTCAAGTACTGTAGACATAGGGTTAGAAAGGTATAGCCTGCTCTGTGTATTAAGCACACAGGTCATGGACAGAGTTTCAGCGTGTTTTAGCACGAATTCAGCAGTGCAAGAAAACTCTGGGGAAACTGGGGCTCTCAGGATGTCCTGGGAGCAATATGAAATGACTCACAAGGAAATTGCTCATCAAAGTCTGCATCTAAAGGACGAGTTAAGTTTCCAGGCAATGAGGGGACAGATGTCCTAGAGATCAGGACAGAGTGACTTGCATGTACAACGTGAGGAGAACAGGGCAGTTCCAAATAACAAGGACTACTCAAATCAAAGCAGTGACGGTATAGAGCCTGCTCTAGAAGTCCTTACTGACTGTCCACACCCAGAAAACTGCCACACAGCCTGACCCAGGGAGCAGGTCTCCGCTCAGCAGACAGGTTGGAGAGGGACAGGTCCTTCAAGGACATCTTGATCACAGGTAAATGGCTATACTGTGGGTTTGCTTTGGACTGCAACACAATATCCTACAGATCTGAGCCCCTAGTATAAGGAAAAGACCAGAGCCCTTCCTCCAGGGCTGAAGGGCAGAGGGAGCTGGGGTGTAAAGGGAACCACTGGGGTCTAAGTGCGAGCTGCCACCGGCTTGCCAAAGGTAATGTAAGCCATTCTGCCCTGTGCATCAGGTCAGGTCAGGGGAAGGAAAGGAAGTCTAAAAGGCTGGACACACTTCCAAAGGATGATGTGTTAACCCAGGGGTGACTTAAACTAGGAGCCGGAATGATCTTTAGCTTTGCCCACAGCCCAGCAGGAGGCAAGCTCATTCAGGACACAGTGAAACTTTGGGTGTACAGTGTGGATTAAGTCTCCAAATTATTGCTGGTTATTATTGAGATTATTTATGGCATTTGCTGAGTAACAATATAATAGGATAAGGGTTTACTTGGACATTCCTCTATTCCAGTAAAAAGTCCATGCTTGTCTTATGACTTCAACTTTATAATTAAAGGTCATTGCCAGTTCAACAACAGCAACAATAACAAAAATAAAATTATCGAGACGCGTTCTACTTACTTCGTGTTTTAGCCAGTCATTCTCCCAGATCTCTCGGTAGTTGCTCTTGTCAATGAACTTCACAGCATTCTATGAGGAAAGTTTGCGTGAAGGAAGAGTTGTCATAGGTGACACACAGCGTCAGCGCTGGTGGGTCAGGGTTTGTCTCCACCTTCGTTCTAATTTTGTCTTGAACCACATCCCCAGCCTGATATTTACAGTCCTACCCACAGGACTTTTATAGCAGGTGACAGTGTTTCTTGGTGAGATGGTTTCATTTAAATATCATGTTTCAAATCCAACACTCAGCTACTAAAGGACAAACGCTCTTTTTAAAATATATTAATTTTTGACTTTTTAAAGATTTATTTATTCTATGATTTTAGGTGTATGAGTGTTTCGCCTTCATGTATGAATGTGTACCTCAAACGGGCGTGTACCGCCATAGCCACAAAACAGGTGTGTACTACCATGACCCTCAAAAGGGCATGTACCACCATAGCTCCAAAACAGGCATGTACCGCCCATGACCTTCATGTATTCCTGGCCTCAAGCAGGCATGCATGCCATGGCTTTCAGTGATAAATCACACGAAAGAATGAGAAGGTTTGCTTTGTTCTAAGAGAACTGGCACGCACCTGTGTGGCCCATTCCTTCCTCTGGTCCAGCTGTATCAGAGTGTCTGCGATTATTTGCTTTCTGGCATCTTCTAGAGTGATTTTATACTGTTCTTTAAAAAGAGATTGCAAGCTTTAGTGGGACCGACTGGAGCTAAAACTGTGGTGTTCAGAAGTTTTATTTCCAAGACCCTTCTCCCCTCCACACACATCTCACCCCAAACCCAAATTCCCACGGATGTATTTTTTCTGAAACATTTAGTTCCTCTGATCAGAAGAAATGCTCCAACAATTTGCTAACACCTTAGTCTGAATTTTCTAAGGTCGCCAAGGTTTGTATTTTCAAAGGATTCCCTCTGCAGAGGGGAGTTTGAAACAACGCTTGTTTCAGCCTCTGTTCCTTGGATCACCCAGGATTGGACGCTGCTAATTTCACAGCAGGCGCATACAGACTTAATCATCTGGTTGAGTCTCATGGTGTACATCCGACTCTAACTAGATTACCAATGTTTGGGGCATGTGGTTCCCTGTGTGAGGAAGACACAGTGAGGACAGGGAGGGGGCTGAAGGCAGCAGACCTGGGCCTGTGCTGAGCACCCTACAGGGCAGGGATGGGGGTGGGGGCAGGGGCAGGGGCAGGACTCCTATCCTTTGGTCTGTTCTTTCCCTTCCTTCCTTCCTTCCTTCCTTCCTTCCTTCCTTCCTTCCTTCCTTCCTTCCTTCCCTTTCCTTTTTTTTTTTAAATAAAAGATTTGTGTGTGAACAGGTCTACATGTTCCAGCACACGTGTGGAAATCAGAGGATAGCTCTGGGAGGCAGGGGAAGAGGTCTTCGTGTGTGAGCATGCCTGTGGAGATCAGTACCCTTCCACCTTGCTTTTGAAGCCGGGTCTCTTGTTTCTCCCACTATGCATAGGAAGCAATTCTCCTGTCTCAGTCTCTCCTCTCCCAGGAAGAATGCTAGGATTAGAAATGTGTGCCCCGGCATCCAGGTTTTTAAGTGGGTTCCAGGGACCGAACTCAGGTTTGTGTGGCTTCTACCCATCGGGCCATTTCTCCAGTCCTGTTTATCAGTGATAGAGGAGGTGAAAAGTTTGTCTTGAAGGGTGCGTAGGGATTGTACCAGCAGTGCTCCTTTGAGCGAAAATGGAGCACGAGGGTGGAAGTCTGCTTAGGAGGCTGGAGGAAGAGGCATTGCGCGGACAGATATAAATAGAACCTGCAGAGTACATTTCTGTTGTTGTTGGCAAATGGTTTCAAGGCTGACCACTCTGCCTTGAGCAACCAGCAAGGGGTTCACTCATGGGAGATATTAATTCTCCTTCTCCCAGTAGTTGCCTGTAGTTCTTTGTCTAGGGGTGGAGCCCTGCAAAACTGGGGACATTTTCTTAACAGACCAAGGCGGCTACAGCGGAAGTCTGGGACCTTGGACTGGTGTGAAGGAAAGGCAGGTCTGGTCTGCCAATAGCCAAGCTAAGGCTGCTCCTAGGGGACAGAAGGGCCAAGCCGGTTACTCCATCCTCATCTGTGCTTCCCCTCGTTAGATGTGGACAGCTGCAGGTGAAATGACTCCTGGGTATTTCTGTGTTCCTGCTCCCCTGAAGGCAAAGTATTTTGAAAAAATATTTTGAAGAAAACTCAATGTGGTGAGCGGCCAGCCATTGGTGAGCAGTGGTCTGAGGCTTCAGCACCTGGGTTGTGGCAGCCAATTGTGGTTCTCCAGGGGCAGCTAAGGTCGAGAGGGGAGTGGGGGCAATGAAGAGAGGAGAGTTCACCCCAGTGGCCCCAGTGACGAACAGGGGTCAGGACAGGGCTTCTGATAGTGTTGAGCAAGACTGCGTGAGGCTTAGAGCAGAGGCTAGGCAGATTTGGGGAGCGCGTCTGGCTTGACATCTGAAAAGTGAGAAACGGAGATCTGGGTTGTTCTAGATGACCTGTGCTCGTCCACACAGGGTCCTTTCCTCACTTTTATTTGGAGTGTCATGACCATGTAACTCTTCCAGTTCAGCTTCTCAGATTTCTTTCTTTGATTCAGGCCCTAGTCCATCCGGTTAATGCTATTTGTTTATTTAAACTTTAGAGGTGGTCATCTGAAAGTTGCTGTGGGTCAGCTGTAATCTATTTTTCATGCTTAGCATCGGAAAGACATCGTAAAACCTGGAATTGGATAACATAGTCATTCTTTGCTATGAATTATCCAAAGTGGATAACCAAATATATTCTGAAGGTCAAGTTCCATTGCTGTATTAATGCTGAGAAAGCAAAATTAACATGTTATCTTGTTCTAAACCCCAAATAGCATCCTATGGATTGCTTTTCCTTAAAAACAGAGTAGAGGGTTCAGCCCAAGGGCTACGGTGAAAATCTCGTGGCCGCCTTTTATGGTTCAGTTGGTGCTTTCTGTAGCGAGTACCCTTGCTAACCACTCCCTGTTGAAGGCAGGGGTGTGCAGGAGTGCCCTTGGTGCCCTTGGAGGGGTTTGAGACACCACAGGTAGGTTCTTGAGAGACTGCGTTTGTGCTTCAAGACTTTAGTTGTCCGATATGTTGGGGTCACTTCCGAGAAGCTAACCCCAAGCCAGGCTGATGCTGGTTGACCAACACTGCGCCTTCCTGTTGTCTCCGACTCTGCTTTGTTTCCTTGTCCACCGCCTATGGGAGTCTAGGGTGTGGTCCTTTACTCGTCTGACTGATCCTATCTCAAGTTCACTGCAATCCCTGGTCCTCATCGGCAGTTGAGGTCGACTCTCCTGCCCTGAGAGTGTTTGTCTAGGATCTCTAGAAGACTGCCTTCCCCGTTTCCTGCGATACTGCATCTCTAGTCCTTTGATGCAGGGGACACAGAGTCCATTGAAACCTCTAACTTTTCCTTTGGCCCTTGGTCCTCAGCACCCACCCATCCCCTCAGCACCCAACTCAACCACTATCTCTGGTTTCTGCGGGCACACAGCTGGTTCTTCTGTTTTGATAATGATCTTATCAAATGCACTTGGGGAATGCCCTGACTTTTTGTCTGCGAAACACGGGCCTTCTATTGGATTTGAACAAACTCAGTCGCGACTGACCTGACATTTTCTCGGCGTTTTCTTTGACCGTGTCGATATCCTTCTGTAAGGAAGCGATGAGCTGAGCGTGCTGTGCGCTTCCCACGTTCTTGTACTCTTCCCAATACTCCTTCTCACCGAGTTTCTCGAGAAACAGTTTCTCTGCGTTATTTATTTGTATGCGCATCTCTGTCGGAAAGAAAAGCCAGGCGCATGTCATTTCCGTCATCCCCGGAACCGGCACACAGCACAGTCTGCTTCCACAAAGTTAGGGGCTGCTGCGGAAATGCAGTTATCTCAGAAATACTATTTGTGCAATTTCGGGATAGCCAAATGATTAAAATGATTAGATATCCCTCATGACAAATCTAAGTAAAATTAAACTTTCAACTCTAAAGAGGATGCATGGTTTAGGACTATGTAAATGAATGATTATGTATGCCTAGGAATCACAAACTTAAATCTACGCCTGTTTCATAAGGATCCCTATTCGTTCACGTCTTCACATCTTATGATGGCTTTGTGAAATGAGTTTAATTTTCTATTTTGTGGTGTATGGGTATTTGCCTGCATGTGTGTCTGTGTACCACACGCTTGCCTGGTACCCGAGAAGGCCAGATGGCATCAGATCCTGTAGTTATGGATGGTTGCAAGGCACCATGTGGGTGCTGGGAATTGAATCTGGGTCCTCTGAGAAACACAGTGCTCTTAACTGCTGAGCCATCTCTCCGGCCCCCTACACTTTCATGTGTAGAGTGGCTTTTTCTAGTCATTGATGTCTCTAGGCAAAACTGATTTCAGGTCCTTTGTAGAGTATGACCCTGAACTTCTAATTCCCTGCCCCGAGTAGATTACAGGAATCCACCATGCTCAATTTTGACAGTCACTTTTATCAGTCAACTGTCTGATTCAGTCATCAAAATTTCAGATTTTGGCTTTTCTTTTGAGAAATGCTAGCATCCAACAGTCAGAGACACGTCTTCTCCCATTCTCTCACACTGTAAGACTGCAGAGTGAAAGATGAGGCCTCCGATTAAACACGCACAAACATTGAACGAGTCAAACATAACCTTCTGGGCCTGCCCCGGTGCACCTGCTAGCGTGATGTTTTATTCAGTTTGGAGGCCCGGGTATAATATTGCTGAGGGTCTGTATGTAGGACGCAGTGCCCAGAGCCACACAGAGTGAACCTCACAGCGGCTTGGCTTGCTCCTTACACTACCTGATTGGAAAGTCTCTTGAAGGTAACACTGTTCTAATCACCCCTGCAAATCTGGCCTTCTTACACCTGGCAATCAGCTGGTTGGCTCAGTAAATGTTTATTTACAAGATGCTCTGAATCCAGAAGTCTAAGACACCCTGGGCGTGGTTTGCCTAGATATATATAAGATCAAAAATCGCCTAAATGGTGCCTGTTAATGTCACTGGACAGCTATGAAAACCAGATGGGCAATTGTCCTCCCATTTGACAGACTGCTACTGTCTGAATCCCTGCTACATTTGACTCTTAAGGGGAGGATTGGTAAATACCATTGAAACTTTATACAGAGAGATGAATATACCAGCTGGCTCACTTTGTCTCCCGTTTCTTTCTAGTAACACACACACAGACACACACGCATATACATAGATTTTTTTTTTCAAAGGAAAATATGAGACCTGGTAGGCAAGAGGTCCTGGATTCAGCCAGGCAGCCTTTGCCCTTTCTGTGACTTGCTGCTCTGAGGCACGCCCAGCTCAAGCTGGGTTTTCATCCTCTTGAGCATGTTCTAGTTAAGAGCTGGGGGCAAAGGCTCCTGCAGTGCTTCCCAGGTCTTCCTGTGCACCCGCCATCCCCAGGGACTCGTAAATGATTCAGGTTCTGCTATCCAAGTACTAACCAGGTCCAGCTCTGCCTAGCCTCCAAGATCAGAGTACCCTGAGTGCATCCAGGGTGGGATGGCTGTCGTTCTCCACTGCCAATGGCTTCTGGCAGGGCCAGGCAAGGACTCGGTTTTCTTTAAGGGCTAGCCCCTGGGACTTTGACCACGCTCTAGTGAGTATAGGGACAACACAGGTTGAGCTCGTTTTTCTTTCCTTTGTCTTCTGTTTTAGGAGGGGAAGTCACAAGGGTGTGCGGAGGGACAAACCTGGAAGGACCTGGAAATGAGTGTGACTGGGGTGCAGGACGTGAAATTCCCAAAGAATCAATAAAAATATTATGCTGGAAAAAATGCAGGCGGTAATTCAGCAGGCCTGGGCAGGGATGAGAGTCTTCGATTCTAAGAAGTTCCCTCATGAGCTACTTGAGCCTGTTCCACCTCAAAACAAGGTTCTTGCAAGGGACTGCCTGGCATGCAGGTGACTGTCAGATGATCTTTCCTGAGACAGCTGCTGTGTCCCCTTCCCTCTCTTCCTTCGTCTCTGTGGCATTCGCTCTTTGAAAGCCTCACATGTCTGGCCTCCTCTACTCTAGTACTTGGCCCTCGTTTAGTATGTGTCCTGGTTGTCTTTTACGTCAGCTTGACACAAACTAGAGTCATTTTGGAAGCGGGAACCTCAACTGAGAAAACTCCCCCACCAGACTGATCTGCGGGAAAAGTCTGTGATAAGTTTTCTTGGTCGATGATTGGTATGCCCAGCCCACTGTGGGTAGTGTCATCACTGGGGTGGTGGTCCTGAGCCAGCCATGAGGGGCAGGTCAGTGAGCAGCACCCTGTCATGGCCTCTACTTCAGTTCCTGCCTTGAACTATTGCCCTGACTTCCTTCACTAATAGACCTGAGAGCGGTAGTGAATGCTTTCCCCGCCAAGCTGCTCTTTGTCACCATGTTTTGTGACAGCCATAGAAACCGGAAGACAGCATGGCACCGCTGTACTAGTAGGTGCACCTCAACTGGGGCCATTGCCAGAAAGTAATTTAGCCACCTGGGCAGTCATCATGAGGTCATCGCCAACTCAAGGGACCATTGTCAAAGTGGTTTTGGAAATGTTAGCAAGAAGTGTAGGATGAGAGAACAGGAATAAGAAATGTGCACATCAAAACTACATGTGTGATTTACTGGATGGGTCATGTGTTTCCAGTAGTAAGAGCATGTCTTGTGTCGTCTACTGCCTTCCCTAGAATCGCTTGCCGAATTCCCCTTTCCCAATTCCAAGCTCTTGTTCTCCAATCTAACATGGGGGCTTCATTCCCTCCCCATTGGGGGAGGGGTGTCCATAATTATATTCCCTTTATGATGCCCAAATCTAAAGCAAAGGTAAGGTCAATGGAGCCCTTCAGCAATGGAACTGCTTAGAAAGGGAACAATCCCCTTGGTAGAGCTCAGGATTCAGGACACCGTGGGGGTTGAAGAGCAGATGGAATTCATTCCTGGCCTTGTTCATTGCTCTAGTTCCCCTCTTCTCATGGCCCCTGCAGGCTTCATTCTTTCCTTCTCCTGTCTCTACCCCTGGAGGGACTGGGACCGTAGTTCAGATGATGCAACTGGAAATGCAGTCACAACGCTTTCCACACGTGGAAGACATAGGCATCAAGTCCCGAGCGTGAATACAACATTCACTGGCTTTTTCCAAGTTGCTAACTCACCTTTCAGGTTTTGCTCCTGGTCTCTTTCAAACTTCCACTTTTCCTTCATGGCCTCTTCCACGTCCTCCCTCGTCACGGGCGGCACTCCCTCTGACTTCTCCTCGCTTAGTTCTTTCAGGAGGTTCTTGATGTGCCACTTCTGCTCCTCTCTCAGGTGTCTGTTCTGCCCGACAAACAACAGTGGCTAAAGACCTCTGCCCGCTGTTTGCACCATTCTCCCAGCACACAAGCCTGCCCTGAGACTTGCAAAGCCAGAAGCAGCATTTAATTAACCGAAGTGTACAGCGCTGTCTCCAAGAGCTAACAGGACGTGCTAGATTCCGAATCAAACAGACTCTATCAGTGCAACAGCCAGCAATAGGTTGCTGTAATTTTAAGAATATGCTGCCAATTTACCAAATTACTCACACACAGGCTCCACGAATGTTTAAAGCAACTCTTGGAGCTAATGTTTCTGAACCTCTCGTCTCCCTACCATGTGAGAGGCTGTGTGCTGGGCACTCGTGTGATCACTACTGAAACAGAAGGAAGTCCTGCTTTTGTGGGAGCTCCATCCTTCCTCGCTTTCATCACAGATGACCCTGTTTCATCCTCTTCTTATAGGATGACGGTGGATTCAGCACACAGGACGTTACATTTCCTGTGGGTGTCTGATCCACGCTTCTGAGATATCTAACCAACTTACAGTTCATTCTTACCATAGTTGTCTTACTGTGTGCACCAAGGAATCAAATGAGCGAAGGAATCACACTCCAACCTGCCCTAATTATCAATTATTATCAATAATTATCAGTAATTATCAATGTGAGTCGTTCATGATGAAGTCAGCGGCACCAGAAAACGACCTGGCTTCACGAGAGAGCACAGGAGTAGCAGTATAAGCACTGCACAGGGAAATCTGAAACTTATGTAATAATACTTTTTGAAATTATTTTATTTGAAAAACTAGAGCAATAAATATAGACCTACATTTCATTACCTACCAATCAATCCCAATTTATATAGTGTGTTTTCTGTGATAATACATCTGAGGAGGGAGGGCCTAGAGCAACCTCTTTGTATGTTATTGAGATTGAGTTGGTATTAATTTTAGGGTGTTAAGTAGACTCCTCAAGAAAGTCACTAAGAAAACAACTAAGATGTAACAACACAATAATAGTTAGAAGGGTACACGTGTGGCCCAAAAGACAGTAATGGAAGAAGAAAAGTAAGAAGCACATGAGACAGAAAACAGAGCCAAAGGTGGGTGTGGAGGCACATGCCTGTAATCTCAGTGCTTGGGGGATAAACGGAGGAAAGAGATGTTTCAATCCTGACCTGCTAAGCTTCCCTACCCACGCCTGATGTAGGAGCGTAGGTACTAGCTAGCGGAGAATACACACTAGCCGTGGAGAATGCGCACTAACCAGCGGAGGATGCACACTAGTCGTTTTGCAGGCCACTCACTCTTGGTTCAGGCCCTGGGTCACACCGTGTGGGCTCAAACATACTGACAAGGCTCTTGTCACTCACTGTCCACCTGTGCCTGCTCTAATTCTTGTCACAAGTACTGACTACACCAGTAATAACACCAGAGTCACGGTCATATCGCCAGAAGCTTGCCAAGTTCCACAGAGCAGCGTGGAGTGGATAGGAACTCTCATTTTACACACAGGAAACTGAGGCTGATGCCAGCACTAGAGAGTTGTACAGTCAGGATGCAAACTTGGGACTCCAACTCCAGATTCCCTTAAAATGTAAAGATACAGCCTTTGAAAATAAAACTTAAGCCGGCTGTGGTACACACGGATATGGCCGGCATTCAGGAGGCTGTGGCGGGGGAATCATGGATGAGTTAAAGGCTAGACTGGGTGGTATAGTGAGATTTTGTATGGGGAGGGCATATAAACAAAAAGTCAAATAAAACGCTAACTGTGGAAGTTTCCAGACCATTCTAAGTCAATCAGTGAAGGAAGAACTATCCTGGTTCTCCTTGTGGCTGTGATGTCTGAGGGCAAAACTTCAGTTTGTTACTGTTTTCCTCTTACAGATATTATTTCTGTTGTGATCCATAGCCAGCATCCTTGTGCTAGTCATATTAATTTTATTTATAAACATTTGAATTGCCATCCATGTATATATGTATGTATGTATGATTGTGTATGAACAAATGCCACAGAGCGTATGTAGAGATCAGAGAACCATTTGTAAGATTTGGTCTCTCCATCCACCGTGTGGCTCCTGTGGATCAAACTTGGGTTGCCAAGCTTGGTAGCAGGTACCTTTACCTTCTGACTGAGCTGGTGACCCTTAACCCGACTTTTACAGAACAATCTTTAAGTATGCCATTAGTAATTTTCACAATTGGGCTTATATTGTTCTAAATACATTGACATATGTACACTCCGGGAAAAGCTGAAACTAAGATTCGGAGACGGAAAAGCAAGAAGCAGTGTTTTGCAGTTTGGATAAACAAGGAGTCCCACGGTAAACGTGATTTCTAGGGTGTCTAACCTCATACTCTAAGTACTGCTCGGTGCCATGGGAACGGCCGCGCCTGCTTGCCTCACGTGCATGAAGAAACCTAATAGATGATCAGTCAGTTAGCTCCAGCACTGACGCTGCGTCTCATCGTGACCCGCAGCTGTCCGGCACGCATGCTCAGTGCCCGCCGACGGCTCCAAGTCGTACTTACCCTGTCTTGGTACCTTTGGTTCTTGTCCCTCAGCTTCTTGATCTGAAACATGAATCGCTCCACTGAATTCTCCTTTATTTCACGTCTGAGAAGAAGCAGAGATGGGTGGGTTAGTACCCCAGGGAAGGGTGATGAGGCTACGCTTTAATTTTAAACATAGATCTGCCTGCCTTTGCCTCCCAAGTTCTGATTTATTTGGTTTTGAGATAGGGGCTCACTATGTAGCACTGGCTGACCTGGAACTTGCTATGTAGACCACATTGGCCTTGAACTCAGAAAGATCCTGCTTCTGGCTCCTGAGTACTGGGATCTAAGGAGAGCTAGTGTTTTCTACCTCTTTAATTCATTAAGATACATATTGGGTGAATATTAAGTCTTTAAAAGAAACATTCCTGTTTTTATTTCATAGATATAAGTTATGTTTTAATTCTCTCTAATCCAGCTTAAAGAAAATCTAGGAAAGAGAACACAGAACACATGCTTTCTAGATGTTCGCATCTAGAGATGTGTGTAGACTTCTAAAAGCATTCGGGCAAAACAAAAACAAAGGCAAAGACCAAACGAGATTGCCCGAGGCAAGGCGTCTTGGACTGCTGGGGTAACCCAGGAATGCCCACCAACTCAATGTTTGTTAGTGCGTGTTCTTTTCTAAGGATTAAAGCTTCCCATCATAAATCATCTCTTTAGCACCCAGTAAGTATTTGTGGACCATCTGTCCATGTGAAAAACAGAGCAGGAAATCGATGGCCATTAGAAGTGCTTGCACGTTCAGATTTCTGGATGAGAGTAAATCTTGGACCTCTAAGTCTGAGATTGAAAAAGGCTAAAAAATCACTTCACCCGAAATCCCTGCTTTAGTTTTAAATAAAGCACACAGTTTTAAATCTTGCTTCTTAACCATTTCTTGCCTCCTTGGTTGTAGGCAAGTCAAATCTCAGGACCTAAAATCTCAGCTGCCAGATAAAGAAAGTCATACCCAGCTCTGTATATTATTATATGGAAAAATTAAGAAATCGCACATAAAGGGTACACTCAGAGAGTGCTCATAAACTCTTGTTGAATCTGACATACTACCAGCACTTTCTCCAAAAGTCTAATTATATTTATGACCTCGTATACTTCAGGAGAGAGAAAACTAAGACTCCTTCCTTCCACATGATGAGAAAATGTGAAATAAAGTTAGCAATCACACAGCGGCCGCCACAAAAGATGTCAATTTGAACACCAAGAACGCTGATTTAGCTCTGCTTTCCCATTGCATGCACAGCGCACATAACCGCTTTTGCCTTAGCTCAGTCTTCTATAAAGGAGATGAGGAGTGGAAGATGCCTGGCTGACATGATTGATGCCAAGACTGGCAGCCTCAGTTTGATCCAAGACCACACACACACACACGCACACGCACACTCACGCGCACACACACGCACACACACGCACACACTCACGCGCACACACACGCACACACACACACTCACGCGCACACACACGCACACACACACACTCACGCGCACACACACGCACACACACACACGCACACACACACGCACACACACACACACTCACGCGCACACACACACACACACACTCACGCGCACACGCACAGGCACAGGCACAGGCTAAATGGATGTCTAAAAAAGATCAAAGGAGTTGAGCTCCATAGCTCAATAGTTTCAAACCCCCACCATTTCTGCTGTCCTGTGTTCCCTCTCACAGACTCAATGGCTGCCACTTGGCCCCATGCTGCCTTGGGAATCACAGAGATGGTTTAGAACGAGCCCTTCATGACCTTGGTCTTCAAGGAGTGCAACTTGGCAGATTTGGAGCAAGTAAATACACAAACAATGTTTGCCCGTTGGATGAATACTTTGTGGGACCAGGAGACAGAGAGTAAATACAAGGGCTGCCATGCTACCTGACAGGAAAAAGGAGCCTCTGACTAAGTAAGGCTTTTACTTCTGATAAGAAAAGAATTTCTGTGGGGAGATGGTGGCACGCGCCTTTAATCCCAGCACTCAGGAGGCAGAGGCAGGTGGATCTCTGTGAGTTCGAGGCCAGTCTGGTTGGTCTACAAGAGCTAGTTCCAGGATAGCCCCCAAAGCTACAGAGAAACCCCATCTCAAAAAAACAAAACAAAACAAAAAATCAACAACAACAAAAAACAGAACAAAACAACAAAAAAGAATTTCTTTCCATCCCCTGTCTCCTGGTGTACATGTGTGTATGGGAGTGGGTGGGTGTTAGCACCAGAAACCAAGGCCTCAATTGGGTGGTGACAGTGCTGACCTTTAATCCCAGCACTCGGGAAGCAGAGGCAGCTGGATCTCTGTGAGTTCAAGGCTAACGTGGTCTACAGAGCTAGTCCAGGACAGTCAGGGTTACACAGAGAAACCTTGTATCAAACAACAACAACAACAACAACAACAAAAACCAAAAAAAGAAAAGGAAAGAAGGAAAGAAAGAAACCAGGACCTCATTCATATTACACAAATATTCTACGAGTGAGCTTTATCTCCAGCTTTCTAGTTCTCATGTTTATGGATTAAACCACCCCAACCCAGGTCCTGCGTAAGATATACATACACTAAAAGTATTCTTTGTTCCTCTGAAATTCTAATTTAGTTACTCAGCTTGTGTTTTTATTTGTGACATCCGAAAAAGCCTACAGCCTTTACCCTCTGAGCACTTAGGAGCAAATGGCTGAGGGCTTCCTGTCCTGCTGATCCTGCGCTGAGCAATGCTGATGACTGAGACCTAGCTGCAGTTCTTAGAGAATTCCCAACTCTTTTCCCGCGTCCCTGCCCCCTTGTGGAAGTCATGGCAATTGCAGGTCTAACTTGGACTTCGCTTTTCTTTCTGCACGCGACACCATGTCTGGCTTTTACAGCGATCTTCAAAGGGTCCAGGGCTGTTACAAAGCACAGTGGCATTACGTGCCAACTCCCTCCCATATTGTTAAATGTTTCTGGCACTCAGATTTCCCCTTCCGTGCGATATCATTGAAAATTTTAGGACGAGGACAAACTTAGAAAAAGATTGTTTTATTTTTCTTTTATGTGCATGGGTATTTTGCCAGCATGCATGTCTGAGTACCACTTGCAAGCCTGATGCCCATCGAGATCAGAAGAAAGGGTCAGATCTCCTGACACTGGAGTTACAGATGGCTGTAAACCACCATATGGGTGCAGGGACTAAAACCCGGGTTCTCTGGAAGAGCAGCCAGTGTTCTTAACCTTCAGAGTCATCTCTCCAGTGCTAAGAAGAATAAATCTTTAAAGCAAGTAGCTTTATTATATGCTTTATCCAGGGTGTTTTAAAAAATTGGTGTGCAGAAACGAACAGTTTGAAACTAAGTAAACACATCATTTTATTAATCTAACAAATCAGAAGACAAATTTGAATTGTAAAGCATTCTATACTTTTCTATGTTCTTTTAAATGGATAATCGTACCCAAGCCTATATCAACTACTTTCCTTGTAGAAGGCCAAGAGAAAGCATAGGGAGAAAATGAAAACTGTCGCTAGAAGCCATCACTTTGTGGCATTTCCAGGATTGGCTTCTCACAGAGGAACATTCACAGGAAGCTCTTGGCCTTATTGTTTAGCAGCAGAGTCCCTGTGTGCATGGGACTTCCTGATCGAAAGGAAGGGCTGTGGTGCAGCTGCCTTCCACGTGCACTCACCCCTGGGAGAGAGAGAGAGAGAGCACTTGGTTCAGGGCAGCCATCTCAACGCTAGGTTGAGAGCCTTAACGTTTCATTTCCTATACTGATGTGTAAGACAGTGTCTTTGTTTTACCTCCACGAGTGTGATTTTGCACCCAGATAAGACTCAGTTGTGATCTTTACTCAAGAAAGAAGCTCCAAATTTACAGTGTGTCACAGTCATACTGGCCATTGAGGACACACGAGATTCAGAGTTCAATATTTGTTGAAGAAGAACTAAGCAGGAATCACCTCCCGGCGTTTTCCCTCACCTCAGCTCTGTTTTAACTACCTGCTCTGTATAGAAACAAACCCACAAATAACCCAGTCAAATAGTTTTTGGTTTCAAAATCTTGATTGATATTTTCTATTTTTTTTAAATCTTTACTTTTTAATTCTCTGTCTATGTCTATTACTCAATGTAGGAAATCTAGGTATAGAGGAGAAAATGAGAATAATCGCTCAGAGATGACAGTTCCGTAGATATAGATCACAGAATCTCATAGCCTTGTTTTTCTTGGATAACATTTTTGAGGTTCAGCTGCTCAGAAACCATGAATCGCTGTCTACTGGTTGCTCCCTGCTCTGTTATGACAGGGGACAGAATGAGAAATGCTGGATGCTGCCCGGGCAGGCCCTTCCTCAGATGGTCAAAGCAGGCGGTGTGGCCACTTGCCATGTGACAAAAGTTCTGCTTCAGGGAACACCCAGAATAAGTCCCCAGCAGAGCGTGGGCCAGCAAGCCTTTGGCAGTTCTAGTCCATGGGGTTATTTATTTCATTTTTAACGAATTATGGAGAACGCAGGCAGGGGAATAGCCACTTTATGTCTATTGCTAGCATTTCTCTCCGTGTAAACCTCTGCTAACGAGGGAGAGACTGGCCTCTGTCCACCCCAACGAGAGCGAGATATAACTAGGTGTCATCCCAAACCAGAGAGCATGTGCGAGATCAGGTTGTGCTCACAGAGCCTGACTTTTCTACACTGCTTACGGGAGAAGAGAGATCTCAGTTACAGCGAGAAATGCATAAGGGCCATGCCTGGTCGTGACGTAAGGGGTCTCTGACAGCTCGTCCCAGGGGCTGCTTCTTTGTTAGAATTCTGACCCTTTACTCTCTGCCTTCTACACAGAATGAGAACTCAAGAGAGCGTTTCTGTAGAAGAGGGCTTTTCCCTGCTTGCTGGTAAGACTCAGGTCACCAGCATCACAGCCCCCACCTTCAACCCTGGGTCCCTCCTATGAATGGTGCCCTTTCCTGATCTCACCGTGCTGCTTGCACTGACCCTTACACCACCAGAGCCTGCCCTCCGTCCTTCGTTCTGACATCTGCCATTTCCTGAAAGCCATCCGCCTTTTCACGTCTGGCATCTTTGCATCAGCCGTATGCTTCCACTCTCTCCACCGCTGTCTTCTCCCAGAGGAAAACTCGCACGGCTTTTCCAAGCCCTGTGACGAGGTCAAGTCCTTCTCCCCCCTCTCTACAGGGCTCTTCCCTGCTTCTTCACAGCAGGGAGCGTGTGCGCCGGCTCCCTGCTGTGCTGTGGGCCCAGCACTTGTTGTACATATTTGCTGAGTGAAAGCACGAATGAGTTCATTCTTATTTGGAAATTTACTGACAGTTTTCCACGAGTTCCCTAAAAATTACACATCGGAACCCCTACCCAGGGCCAGAGCTCTCAAGAGGCTGTTTGTTGAAATAAAACATTTTCAGCTCCTGGGAGCGAGACATGATGAAATGCTCTCATTCTTCAAAATAATTCTTAAGCCAGGAGTTGTGGCATATGTCTGTAATTCCGGAACTTAAGAGACCGAGGCAGGAAGAGTGTCACAGGTGCAAGGACAGAGACTTTGCCTCAAAAAAAAAAAAAAAAAAAAAAAGGTAGCCAGTGACTGAGGAATGACAGTCAGGTTGTCATCTTGCTAACACACACACACACATACACACACACACACACACAAAACCCCCACACACCTCTCTAAATTGCTTGCATTTGATGTGTAGTTACTTAGAAATAATACAAGCTGGCACATCTAAGAGATAGAAAGGTAAGTGAAGGGAAATGCTGCCTCCAGCTCTCTGTTTACACCGACTGTTCCAGGATGTATTTTAGGAGGTGAACCGGCATGCTGTTATCTCTGTAGAAAAGGGCACAGCACAGTGGAGGAGACGAAACCACATGGAGGAGAGCCGTTTCATAGATACTGTTTGGTCTGTGCACACAACCCAACAGTCTAACGTCGCTAATCCATCCCGACTTCCTAGGCAGTGCTTAGCTGTGCCACCCCCATGTGCAGTTACTTGAGCTTTACCAGGGACCGTATCTGCATGGGGCCCTGTTCAGATTAGGTTCAGAATACAGACTCACTGATAGTCCAGAAGCGCTTCGCTCATCGGCAGCTTCGCGTCTTTTGGGGGTCCATCTTGCACCTCTTTTTTGCTTCCTTTCGCCGAGCTGTCCATGGTTCCGGTTGACCACTACGAAAATACCTGAATAGCAGACAGACATAAGAAAAGTTAACCAACTCCACCTTGGCCCCTCTACCTGCACCACTGGGGCTATCCTGTCCTGTCTGCTGCTTGTCCCCAGATCTAGCACCATCCACAAGGTTGGGGCACCATCAAGCGGCATTGCCCATCATTCTTAATGACCAAAGGCCTGAGTTTCTTGTGGTCTTCATTTCTCCACAGTGTTTGGCAGTGTGAGCTGTGTGTAGCAGCAACTCAATAAATGTCTATTTAAAAATAAAATCTCATAGAAGAGTTGAAAGATTGTACGAGTCAGGGGTCAGGAGGACTGAACAAGATGTCATGTCTTCTTGACATGACAGGTTCACTGTGGCCACCACAGCGGATGGGGTTGTCTGCAAAGATGGAGCTAGTCAACACTCTAGCGTGGGCGGTGGAGAGACACATGACTGCTCACCCCAGCTAAGGAGCTACTAGCGGAGGCTATTAGGGATGTGTCAGCGATGGCTGTCCAGGCATGCCTATGTGGACAGTGCAAATGGGACTCAGTAGATTATAAGAAAAGAAAGAGGGAGAGAGCACACTGAAGATGGGGGCGGGCAGTGAGAGGTCAGGGGTGGGCAGGGAGAAGGCAAAGTAAAATATGGTCAAAGCACATTGTGTGCATTATATGCAAAGAAGAGAAAAGAAAATATATTTTTAAAAAAGTTTTCTTTTTTTAATTTTTTAGAATCAAGGTGCAAGGACTTAAAAGAGTTGTGTTAGGCCAAGGTTGTAGCTAAGCAAATCATAAATAAAAGCACACTTTGAAATACTTTTTAAACACCTAAGAGATTTACAAATGCAAATAGCTAAAATGATGATGCTTCGTTAACTTTTCATAAGCTATAAACTGCCTTTCTATGAAATATTTAAGTTATTAATAATATATTTTTCTTTATTCTTCTCTCATATATTACACCCCGACCGTGGTTCCCTCTCTTTCCTCTCAGTCCCTCCCCCCACCTCTCTTCTTCCCCAGATCTATTCCTCCTTCATTTCCCTTTAGAAAAGAGCAGGCCTCCCAGGGCTATCAACCAAACACAGCATAGCAAGTTACAATAGGACCAGGCACAACCCCTCATACTAAGGCTGGATAAGACAAACCAGTAGGAAAAAGGGGTCTCAAAAGCAGGCAAGAGAATCAAGAGACAGTCCCCACTCCCTCTTTATATGAAATCATTAAATTAGAGATAATTTTTTTTAAAAGGTAAACCAAGATGCTCTACTGGCTGATATTGGAGTGAAGCAAGATTCTTCACGGGTTTGACTTAGGTCTCGAAGCATTCTTTTCAGAATGTAGCTTTCCCTAGAAGATTTTCATCTAATTCCCACTGTTCTCCTAAGATCAAGGGCCTATCCCTGCCTTCAAGACATCTGTAGTTCTCCCTGGTGGGAGACACTGTGAGAATCAAGTGGTTGGAAACTCTTTACGGTGAGTCTGTGTTACTTCTTGGGCATTGCTCTTCCTCTCCCTACGACAGACACAATTCTTGTTGCTTACATGCTTGGGCTCGGGGAGCAATCGGGCAGATGTATGTTTTAACCCCAGACCTCATCACCTATTTTTTGTGTGATCTTCAGAAGGTTACTATTTTGGCTCTGCAGATCCCTCAGCCCGCACACGGTTGAGAGTGCTAGGGACCTCGTTCCAAGGGCTCTGGTGAGCTAGAGAAACATCTGGGCTTGCATCGTGTCGCACACGCAGGAAGCTTAGCAAGTCACATGTCTCTCTTCAGGTATGGATACACATTATACATCACATGATCTTCCTGTTAAATGGCAGGCAACTGTGCAGCAGCAGAGGTCTGTGGGGCAGATTTAGGCCCCCGGGCTCACTATGGCCTGGCTTCTCCACTGATCTGGATCATCGGATTGGCAGTCCATGTAGATCTGATCTGGATCATCGGATTGGCAGTGCATGTAGATCTATGAGTCATCAAACTCCACAGTGGAAAACCCTCTGAAATGGAAACATGCCTTTCTCTATAGTTTTGGTGCTCGTGCGCCCAGACTTCTCACGACGCTTTCTTTGTATCTCAGAGTTTTCTAGACAAATACACATCCAGGTTAAAAAAAATTCATTAACACTGCCTGTGTCTTCCCCCCACCCTTTTGAGACTCTGTATACTTGGCTAGTCTGGAACCTGTGAGAATCCTCCTGCCTCAGCCTCTTGGGTGCTGAGATGATAAGTGTGATCAACCTATCACACCTGTCTTCTTTAATATGACAACCATTCACAACAATTCAGTAAGCTTCCACATCAAAAATTATACCATCACGGTTCTCAGAAAATCATTAGCTAGGAAAAATCTGTTCTCTTTGTTTCCAGTGCTATCCTGAATTTTTATATCATCTTCTACTTTAGAATACAAATTTTTATCTTTATGCAAAAAAGCATGCTAACGTTTCATTTTAAAACAGTGATTTACTATTCAATTCTTTTCTACTCTACCTCATTTAAAAGTTGAAACAAGCATCAAGACTGATCTCTTTCTTCATGAGTCATATGGAGAAGATCAAATGTTAGTGTCCCCTCCAGCGTTTCCCAGCTGGTGCCGGAGAAAACACGGCCTCATCTTGTTCAATTACCTCAGTTACATGGCTGTTATGTTTTTAACTCTCTGAATGCATAATTAGTTATTGAACTGCAGCTTACCACAGAGGAGTTTAATAAAATATGAGGGAAAATGTCAAGCCACTAAGGCATGAATGATTCATGCCTAAGCAGTACTGTACGTTGTCATTGTTTTGAGGGCTTTCAAGAAAATTAGCGAGACAACTGGGCTGCTAATGACAGGGCCTCACAAGGGACTTTTGCATCTGATGATGTCCCGTAAGCCGTGGAGATTTTCATAAACACAGTCGCTGACCTTTTGCCCATTGCTGGCACGGCAAAGGGAAACAGACTAGTCACATGGTCAGTGTTATCTCCAGGAAGGTTTCACCCAGTATAATTCCTCACAAGCGGACGTCTGATCTGTTGCGGTAACTGCAGATGTGTATTTAATGCCTGCTTTGTGGATAGAACGTTACCTCGTCACTAAGTGTACAACACAGAAGAAGCAAGTCGGAAACTCAGAGCTATGGGGGAACACACACTGCAGCAGACATCACACAAAACAAGGAGCTGTCTGAGAGAGACTCCCAGGTTATTCAAGAGCTGCTCTTGCTGCTGGTCATCCAAGAAGTGATGCCTCTCATGCATTCATGCTTGTGTGCTCTTTTTTGCCTGGTGGGGTTTGGACAGTCTGGCTCACAAAGACTCGGGTCTCTAGACTCTCCCGAGCCTGGGATTTCCTCTGTGACTATTGCTTTTCTTGTCAGGAAGCATTTCAAAACAGCATTCTCCCAGGTGTTTCTCAGTGAAAAATGAAAGTTATGTAGTAAAAGCAGACACGTGATTGGCTCCTAACGGACTGCTATCCCAAAGTGCTTTGGCGCTGTAGAATCACCTCTAGACACAGAGCAAATCCCTGTCTGCACAGTCTCAGGGGTGGGGCTGACCCCCTGGGGAGCACCCTTCCTTTCATCATCTCGTTTCTGCCCTGACACCTTTCTGGACATGTGAAATGGCTCCCGATCTTGCTCGGCTAGTTTTCCATCAACGCGGATTGAAATGAAAGATACAGACCTAACATTGTTAGCAACGACCAAGTCCTGAGTGTCAGTCCATTGGGGGAGAAAACATGTGATCGAAAGATATTGGTTAAATATGACAATTGTCATAATGTTTAATGTGTAAGGAACGTGTCAGGTGAGCAGAAATGACAGGGTTTTCTTTGTCATTGCTGTAACTTTCTTACACGGTTTCTTCTCCCTTCCATTTCCACAGCTAAGTCTTACTGGTCCCCTCCTTCAGCTCTTTCCCTTCCAACGGCGAACTTGCCAAGAAGAACGGAAATGTACATTTCATCATGGCACGCCCCTTTCAAATCTTGAAGCTTCTGTAAACCCAAAAGTAGCAGCACTAACAGTAGCAAGAAACGCAGTACTTCCTTCCAGGAGCCTGGTTACGGAAAGAGCAATCGAGAAGGCACAGAACTCATTGTAACACTGGCTGCGAGGCAATACACACGTTTAAAAATATTCGTAGTGCTCCTATAACTAAAGTTCATTTAGTGCTGAAAAGTAATGCTCCAGCAAGCTCATGTCCTTGGGAATTCAAAAATGCATGGAGGTCCCGAAGCCAACTGCGTCCTGGATGTTCAGTAAACACTGGTGTGAAGGAGTGGCCTACAAACATGCATTATTTTCTTCCTTTAGCAATGGCCTTCCTTCACTGATAACAGTGTGTGGACTCTAAGTTTGTAAAGTAAAATTGCTTAAGTATCTTTTGAAAAAGTTAGTATTTTGCATGGGTATGCGTGTATGGTGTGTATGTGTTTGCATGTGTGGGAGCTTGTGCGTGTGTACATGTGTGGAGGTCGGAGTCTGACTGTCAATGTCTTGTTCAGTTCCTCTTATCTATTGAGACAGGGTCTCCCACTTGAACACACAGCTCGCTAATCCAGCTAGCCAGCTAGCCGGTGTGTTCTGGGATCTGCCTCTGCCTCCCAGACACTAGGAGCACAGGCAAATCACCATGCCTGCGTGCCCAGCATTTATCTGGGTGCTGGGGACCCAAACCCTGGTCTTCATGCTCACACTGCAAACATGTCACCCACTGAGCCATCTCTCCACCCCAGCAGAAGTCCTTGGAATGCAAATGTTCACTTATGCCAGAGATACTTTTTGACATAAAAAGCTTTATTCTCTCTCACCAGAATGCATTGTGAACAGACTAGATGCGCTCCAGCATTAAAAAAAAAAAAAAAGGAACTACTTAAATCCTGTTAGAAGTGGTAATACCACCTAAAAGTTGCTTTATAAAACTTGATGCGTATTTTCAAGTAGACTATCTGGGCATAGTTACAAATATCATGAAAATGCCAAGTCTACTCACTTTAGAAAAGTACCATTAAAACTGTTCAGATCCAAGTAAGACATCTGAATGACTGACTCTGTCACGGACCTTTTGGTGTCTGGTTCCGTGTGTAGTCTTTTCTTTCTTACTTTCTTTTAATTGCAGGCAATTAAAGTCAGTACCTCACTTATGCTCAGCAAGGTCCCAGTCCCCACCCCCCAGCATCTACTTTCCTTAGGGCTAATATTTAGTCGCTGGCACGCTTTGGAACCGAAGTTCCCAGACTCTTCTAGATCTTAAACTTCAGCATGATCTGATTCAGGATTTCTGAAAACAGATTGAGAGAAGCGCGCCACCCTAACTACCCTGACTTCTCTATGCCGCGGCTCCACTTTCCTCCCAATGCTTCTGTCTCTTGATTTTAATGTCCCCACAGAAAAAGAATATCAAATGAACAAATAACATTTTATAAACATGAAAACATAACCAGGAAGAGAATTCTGTGAGGACAATGGAAACGCACTCACTGCTACTATGGTAGCCAAAATAAGGGACTTAATCTGGGGTCAGGGCTTAGAGTGGCATCCAAGGAGACGTGTGGGCAAGCATCATGTATTCTGGTGAATGTCCAGATTGAAATCTTTCCCCTCCCTCCTCCCCCTCCTTTTTCTCCTCCTCCTCCTCCTGCTCTTCCTCCTTTTTCTCCTCCTCTTCTTCTCCTTCTCCCCCCTTCCTTCTTCTTCCTCCTCCTTTTCCTCTTCTTTTTCTTTCTTAGACAGGGGGCATCCTTCCCTATCCCTCCACTACTTCAACTCAAATCAGAATGGGATTATGGGGTAAAGAAGACATTGAAGAAACAAACAAAATATTTGTCTGAGTTTAAGCTGTCAACTTGATACAGCCCTGAGCTACCCAAGAGGGGAGTCTTCTTGAGGGATTATACAGGTCATATTGGTCTGTGGAGGGTTATCTTGCTAATTGATGTAGGAGGTCCCAGCTCACTATGGGCGACATCATTCTCTTTGCAGGTAGTTCTGGACTATACAAAATAAAGCTAAACAGAAAACTAACATAACCCTGTGAACCAGTAAGCAGCCTTTCTCCAAGGTTCCTGCTGTGAACTCCCTGTATAATGGACGGTAATCTGTAAACTGCAACAAACCTTTTGCTCCCCTAATGAAACCAGAACAGTGATATTAAAATCCAGGACGTTCATTAAATGCAGAAATCATTTGTTCTCGTTTGGAGGCTGTGGTAGCCTCAGAGAAAGGAACTAAAATCTATGGATCACCTGCGAGGGTTACTACGCAAGCACACTGACCGCAGGGCACGGGCCTGTTGTGCTGGATCAGGCACCGTCCTTGGGGAAGGATCCCAAGGGTGTGTAAGGTCACTCAACAGCATTCTGCACTGTGGGAACACTAGGAGAAGGAAGGTGAAGTGGAACCCCCATCTCTCCACTAAGTTTTTCAACTTCAGCCCAGTTTCTGGTCCTGTCTGCCCAGCGTCTTTCTCCAGCTTTTCAATCTCTTTTCAGAATGAAGAGGTCTCAGATGTTTCGAGGAAATTGTGATAAACTGCTACACAAAGGGGAGGCATGGCCGCAGCCGTTTTATTCTGTGAGGTTAAGATTTTAAGACGTCAAGGGGATGCCTAATGCTCGGGATGGTGCCGGTTCCTATGTTGCTGTTTAACCCCGACCCGTCCCCGCCCCCACCCCGCCTTACCTACATACCAGAAACAAAACTTAGTATAAATTAGTCAAAGAAGGGATGAACAACAATACTGGAATAGAACAATTGTCACATGTAACAAACATTATTTAAAATGTACACATTACTTATTTCTGGCATTTTTCATTTAATATTTTCCCACCCGGAACTGCCTCTATTGGAATAAAGGGGGACCATTGTATTGAGCATAGAGCATATTGAGTAGAGGGCTGAGCATCTACTGAGTTAGCGACTGCGTGAAGACCTGGAGGTTACAAACCTTGAAGTTTAGGATGGCCCAAATCAGGCTGGTCTCCCTGTCTTCAGGGTAGTGAAAGAGGGGGAACCTCGGAGAATTCCCCTCAACAGTTTCTAACCGCCTAGGAACAACGTCCCGAGGGAAAAACCAGAGGGCGCGACCCCAAGCTCATCTCGCGTCACTGCAAACCAACAGGAGGGGGTGTCGGGTGTGGTGGGGGAGGATTCCTAGGGAGTCTTTGAGGACTGAGGAAGAAGCCCAAGGTCACACAAGGATGTCAGCTTTCTCCGACATCCTCTCCACCGCGCTTTCAGATGTGAATCCCGGGATCCTGGCTGGTGGTTTGAACGACTGGCGGTTCTCACTCAAGTTCAAACAGTTCAAAGCACTCTCCGATCCCCCTCCCGGACCTCACCGGGCCGCCGGTGCATTCTCGGTTTCCATAGCAACTGGCATCCTCACCCACTCGCCCACGCCAGGTTCCGCACCAGCGGCGGTTCGCGCGCGCCACCTGGCGGCCATGTGAGGAAGAGCACGGGCGAGGACTTCTGTGATTCCCAAACCACTCCGGAGCGTGGGAAGGGGCAGCGCTCCAGCGATGCAGGTGCTGGGGGCTCGTCTCTGTGCTTTTCTGTCTGCTTTTGTCAGGTTAGGTTTAACTCCGGGTAGAATGGCGGGCACCTGGAGCAAGTGCTCACCGGGTAACGTGAGGTACTGAAGTTATTGATTCTGTCTTCCTTCTCAGTTTCCTTATAGCTTTCATAACGCAATGTAGATCTGCAAACTACATTTGCAAAGCAGTTTTCAAGGTAGGAATCAAACCAAACCAATGCTCTGCAGTACAACATTTTAAGTTCCTCTTGCGCAAGCCAGTCTCTCTCATCCTGAAGGCAGTCTCTGCGGGCACCCTAATTTTCTCCCATTTCATTCCAGTAATTGTCTTTCCGGCCTGGGAAGTCGGAAGCCAGGCTCCTTCAGGCTTCCTACTCTCTTCCAAGTGATCTAGTTGGCTTAAAGAAGTAGATTAAAACATCGGTTATCATTTTTAAAAGTTAATGCTGTGTTATATTAGGGGCCCACTGAAGGAACGGACCCGAGGGTGTTAGTGAAAAACAACTGTTGGTTAAGTGGGGTTTTCTCATCACTAAAAAAATAGAATTATCCAAGGCAGGCATGGGGGCATGTACCTGGGATTGCATCACTCTGAAAGGCCGAGTCAGAAGGACTGGGCGTTCAAGAGCAGCCTGGGCTACAAAGGAAGATCCTGTTGTAAAAACAAAACCAACCAAAAGATACCAAAAAGTCATCCAAAAGTTAAATAGTTTGAAATAACTAGACCTTCTCTTTCATTCTGCCAGTGTTACACATTTTCTGAGACTTGCATATCTGATAAATGTATTTTATTTATTTGTTCATTTATTTTCTTTTTCTTTTTTGAGACAGGTTTTCTCTGTAGCTTTTTGGAGCCTGTCCTGAAACTAGCTCTTGTAGACCAGGCCGGCCTCGAACTCACAGAGATCAGCCTACCTCTGCCTCCCGAGTGCTGGGATTAAAGGCCTGCGCCACCGCCGCCCGGCTCATTTATTTTCTTGAGCTAGGGTCTCACTGTACAGTTGTGCCTGGCCTGGAATTCACTATGCAGGTCAGTCTGGCCCGGCACTCGCAGAGATTCGCTTGCCTCTTGGCCTCCGGGTTAAAGGCCTCACCACCAGGCCAGACTGATAAGCATTTTAGTTAGCCATTTCCCCCTGAGCAGACAGCAGGTAGCGGTAGGGGTGAATGTATTAAATAGCCCGCAGCTGTAGCTGACAAAGAGCTACCCCCCAAAGGGGTCCAAACACGGAGGCTCTCTCCGTTTCCGGGCTGGGTCTGGATTTCTCCAGTGCGTTGACTTCCTTCCCTCTACAACTCCGAGGCCTGCTTCTTGTGCGAGAGCCTGGGCCCGTCATCAAAAATGTTCTCCACCCCGTCGTCTATCCTCCGCTCAGTTTTCCTAACAGTGTTTGCCAGCTGGTGGTCAGACAGAGAAGCCAGATAAAAACCATTTGCCAGTTCCCTCATTTGACCTTGGTTTTGTTGCTAGACTTGCCAAGTTGAAAGCTGAGGTGGGAAACGGATGTGTGGGAGAAAAAGCCAGATAAGCAGTTTTTGGTAAGACCACAGGGATTCTATTTTGGATGAACAATTATTAAACATCTTAATACATTAAAAAAATCAGAGTCTTTTGACAACATAAGTTTTTAAGAACCGTGAATATATTTGCGGTTGCATACTTTCTCGGGATTTATTTTTATTTTATGGACGTGGATGTTTGGCCTGCCCTTATGTCTGTTCAGTCTGTATGTCTGTACACTCTGCATGTCTGTACACTCTGCATGTCTGTACACTCTGTATGTCTGTACACTCTGCATGTCTGTACACTCTGTGCACACCTGGTGCCCACATCATCCGGAAGAGGGCATTGGATTCCCTGGAACTGAAGTTAAAGACTGTTAGCTTCCACAGGGTTCTGGAGGTGAATCCGGGTCCTCTGCAAGGGCAGCCGGTGCTGTTGCTCTGAACCTTCCCTCCAGTCCCTGCCGTCTCCTTTAACATACTTTCTGGAACTTTGTCTTTCCCCTCTCAGCAGGCAGTCATGATGGGGCAAGTCTTAGTCAGGACTTACTTCTTTTGGAGCTGCTATCTGCCTTTCCTGCTGCATTCTCAGGCAATATACAAATTAATAAAAATGGGTTAAATTAATGTAAGAGTTAGCCAATAAGAAACTAGAGCTAATGGGCCAAGCAGTGTTTTAATTAATACAATTTCTATTTGATTATTTCGGTTCTGGGAGGCTGGGACAAACAAGCAGGCCCCACTCCTACACTCAGGCATTGTGTTACTATCTCTGTGAGTGAATTCTGAAGCTCTTCCTCTGGAATAGAGTTCACTTTTGTTTTTTCTCGAGAATTTCTTTCTTTTTCTTTTTTCTTTCTTTTCTTTCTTTCTTTCCTTCCTTCCTTCCTTCCTTCCTTCCTTCTTTCTTTCTTTCTTTCTTTGGTTTTGCTTTGAGAGACAGGGTTTTTCTGTGTAGCCCCAGCTGTCCTGGAACTTGCTCTGTAGACCAGGCTGACCACTACCTCCCGGCTAGCAAGAATCTTTTTTATTTTTTTTAAATGTTTAAAAACTTTATTTAGCCTTGCTTTATGCGCATTGGTGCAGGGTGTCAGACCCCCTGAAACTGGAGTTACAGACAGGCATGAGCTGCCGTGTGGATGCTGGGAGTTGAACCTGGGTCCTCTGGAAGAGCCCAGAGTGCTGTTAAGTGCGGAGCCATCTCTCCAGCCCCTATTGAGTTTCTTTCACTTCCCTTCATGGTGTGGCATTAGCTTCTAATCTGACAAGCGTCCCACTATGACCGCTTTGGAAAGCAATATGGTTGTCCTCTATAATGACAAACACAGTGTCTGGAACAGTGACAGTGCTACTACATAGGTTCTTAGGAAAAATAAAATATGTATTCTTAGCAGCTTCCTTTCTAATACTCCAAATCTGGAAGAGCTCACGCATCCCCCCCACCCCACCGCAGGTAGCCACATAAAGCCACAGGGCACATCCACACAGTAGAATACCACGCAGCCGTGGAAACAGAACAGACTAAACTTGTCATACTGGCAAAACCACGAACAGCCCTGAGGAAGCATTCATCTAAGTGAAGAGTCCAAGCAGGATGGAAAGGATCGTACGGAAGTCTAGGAAAGCCTGGAAGACACCCAGTGGTTGCCTAGCCCTGATGGCTGGATGTATTAGCTACCTTTCCGTGGCTGTGACAAAAGACAGGAATCAAGTTTCTGTACACTTAGACAACTCTAGAAGAGAGAGAGGCAAGGAGGCTGCTGGGGAAAACCTGTCTCAAAGGGCTGGGAGGAAGCCTAGAGCAAATGGTTCATTCAATTCCGGGCTCTGGTTGGAGGGTCTGGGGCAGAGAGTGTGTTGGATACAAAGGCCCAGAGGTGAGAAGGCTCAGCTGTTAGTGGAACTCTTTAAGGGAGCTGGCAGAAGAAGGTTCATTTGGGCTCACAGTTCCGGAGGTTTAGAACCCACGAGGGTGGAATGAAGGCACCGCAGCAGGAACGGGAAGCTGGGGGCTCACATCTTGAACCACAAGAATAAAGCAGAGAGAGCAAAGTTGAAATGATAACTCTCACCCATCCTAAACCTCCCCAACAGCCTGATCATTAAACCTCCCAACAGCCTGGGGTATTCAGATGCCCCAGACTACGAGGGACATTTTTTCAGTGGGTGAGGGGATTGGGTATGACAGGGGACCAGGTAATGAAACTAAGGGATGAAAATAGGGATGAAAACAATTCTCTACATTTTGATTGTGAGGCTTTTGTTAACACCAATTGATGTGTGTATGTGTATGTGTGTGTGTGTGTGTGTCATACTGTATATGAACTATACTTCAGTAAGGTTAATTTTTACAAACCAGTGTCAAATTCTTTGACCCATCATATCAGGAGATGGACCTTCTTTTTTTCATTTTTTATTGATTTTTATTGAGATCTACATTTTTTTCTACTCCCCTCCCTGCTTCTCCCTTCCCCCCTTCAACCCTTTCCCAAAGTCCCTATGCTCCCAATTTACTCAGGAGATCTTGTCTTTTTCTACTTTCTACTTCCCATGTAGATTAGATCTATGTAGGTCTCTCTCAGTGTCCTCATTGTTGTCTAAGTTCTCTGGGATTGTGGTTTGTAGGCTGGTTTTCTTTGCTTTATGTTTAAAAACCACCTATGAGTGAGTATGTGTGTCTGTGTTACCTCACATGTAATGTTTTCCAGCTCCATCCATTTTCCTGCAAAATTCAAGATGTCATTTTTTTCTGCTGTGTAGTACTCCATTGTGTAAACGTACCACATTTTCCTTATCCATTCTTCAGTCAAGGGGCATTTAGGTTGTTTCCAGGCTATGACAAACAAAGCTGCTATGAACATAGTTGAGCACATGTTTTTGTGGCACGATTGAGCATCCTTTGGATATATACCCCAAAGTGATATTACTGGGTCTTGAGGAAGGTTGTTTCCTAATTTTCTGAGAAATCACCACACTGATATCCAAAGGGGTCGTACCAGCTTGCATTCCCACCAGCAATGCAGAAGTGTTCCCTTTTCCCCACAACCTCTCCAGCATAAGTTGTCATCAGTGTTTTTGATCTTGGCCATTCTTACTGGTGTAAGATGGATTCTCAGAGTTTTGATTTGCATTTCTTTGAGGACTAAGGATGTTGAACATTTCCTTAACTGTTTTTCAGCCATTTTAGCTTCTACTGTTGAGAGTTCTCTGTTTAGGTCTGTACTCCAATTTTTTTAAATTGGATTATGTGTTCTTTTGGTGTCCAATTTCTTGAGTTCTTTGTATATTTTGGAGATCAGACCTCTGTCTGATGTG